CATCTAGTTCTCTTGGGTGAGTTTGCTTCTTTTTGTTCTAAAGTTTTCAAATGTTCTGTTAATTCACTAGTGTGGGATTTTTTTCCAGCTTCTTTATGTAGGCATTTAGTGCTATGGACTTTCCTCTTAACACTGCTTTCATTGTGTCCCATAAATTTGGGTATGTTGTGTGATCGCTTTCACTGAATTTTAGGAAGTCTTTAATTTCTTCCTTTATTTCTTCCTTGACCCACTGATGCTTCAGGTGAGCATTGTTATTCAATTCCCATGTGTTTCTTCACATCAGAAAAAAATAATGACATCTTGAAATTTGCAGGCAAATGGATGGAGCTAAAAAAAATCATATTGAGTGAGGTAACCCAGACCCAGAAAGACAAATATCAATCACATGTACTCACTCATAAGTGGTTTTTAAACATAAAGCAAAGAAAACCAGCCTACAAATCACAATCCCAGAGAACTTAGACAGCAATGAGGACCCTCAGAGAGACATACACAGATCTAATCTACATGGGAAGTAGAAAAAGACAAGATCTGAGTAAATTGGGAGCATGGGAAGCATGGGAGAGGATTGAAGAGGAGGAGAGCAAAGAAAAATGTATAGCTCAATAAAATCAATTAAAAAAAGAAAAACCCAAAACTACCTCTAGAAATATGTGGTAGGAAAATTTGAGATTGCAGCTATAGCATCTCAAGCCACAAATCTTATTTGCTGTATTAGAAAGATCCATGATATAAGAGCATTAAGACAAATAAATAAAATCCCAGTGAAATACACTACTTATCTTGAGGCCACACCTTAAACATTGTTTGTAACTGAATAACACCCTCTAAACCAGTCAGATCTAGCCAGGTTGGTTTACTTATTTATTTTTAAATAAAGATCTTAAACATTAGACACCGGAGCTGGAGTTTAGCCCATTGCTGCCATCTAGAAGCTGTGATCTTATCCTCTTGGTGCACAAAAGACAAAAGCTACCATAAGCCAGGTACTCTGCTGGGTGCTAAGGATACAAACAGAAGCAAACACAGTTTATGTCCGCAAACTGAAGTCAGACCAAGTTACCTAGATTTATCTGATTGTTTAGGACTCAAGAGACCGAAAAGAAGAGCTATTAATGTCTACTGAGTGCCTACACTGCTGGATACCTGAGAAAGAGAGAGAGCACGAGAGAAAGAGAGAGAGACAGAGAGAGAGAGAGTGCTATCCCAATCCATAATAATCTTGGTGGTTATTTCCCTTACAGAGAAGAACCCAAGGCGCACCACAAAGCCCAAACTTGAACTTATCTCTTTACTACATAATACTACCTAAAAAATGATTAAAGACAATTAATCTCAATTAGGCACCCAGTTTTATAGTTGGTTTCAAACTCAGAGCGTCACCTGCCCCTGCCTCAATGCTAGAATCCCACCACCCCTGGCCATCTAGTCAACTTTCAAAGATCTTTACTGGAAAGGGATTTAAGCTACACCTTGGGGCTCTGGGGAGATGGCACAGAAAGTGTCTGCCACACAAGCATGAGGATCCGAATTTGATCCCCAGTACCCAAATTAAAAGTTGAGTGTGGGACTGGGGAGACAGCTCGGTGGTTAAAAGCACATACTTGTTCTCTCACAGTCTGCACCCCAGCCCACACCAAACAGTCCACAAAGGCCTCACTCCAGCTCTGAAAGACCTGGCACTCGGCTCCCTTTCCAGGCACATATGCTCACTCCCGCAACACCCCCCACATGCTAAGATATAAACACGCCACACACATCCCACATGCTAACACACACACACATATGCTAACACACACACACGCACTAAGACACACATACACACACAAATATTTTTTTAGGTCACTGTGTTTGTATACATCTGTAGCCCTAGGAGTCGGGACAGTGTAGTGTCAGGAGATCCCCAGGGCTCACAGGCCAGCCAGTCTAGTCAATTAGTTTGTAAGGTACTACGTTCAATGAGACCATGTCTCAAAAAATAAGGTGGAGAGTCAGCAAGATGAGTCAGTGGGAAAGACACTCGCTCCCAAGCCTGACAGGCTGGATTCCATCCCTGGAACCCACAAAACCTACACGGTCAAAGAAGAGAACAGACTCCTCTGTTGTCCTCTGACCTCCACAAGCACACTGTGGCACACATATCCTCCCCTCCCTCCTCTCCACAGATATTAAATATATACATGCAATTTCTTAAATAAAGAATTTTAAGGTGGAGACAATTTTTAAAAAGATACCAGAAGCCAACCTCTGGTTTTTACACTCATTCATATTCATACACATATTGACATTGCACACACACACAACACACGACAGAAAGACAGACAGACAGACAGACACACACACACACAGACACCTTGGGAGTCATGAAAGAATGACTACCCAAGGCAGAGGGAAGAGCATGAGTGGAGCTACGGTAGAGAGAGCACAAGGCATTAAGAGGAGCTAAGTTCCTCTGACCATGGAAGAGAGTTTGGAGATCAAAACAAAAGAGCAGGTGGCTATCCAAGGCTGGGTTTAGAGATCTCACCATTTCTCCCAGATAGGGTACCCTGAGAGTTACACTACCCTCTACCCAACTGCCTTCCCTTCCTCTATGCCTTTATTATACTTTATTAGACTACTTATGCAATCACACCTTACTAATAACTAAGGTTTAGGGAATATTTAATATATACTAGTTGCTATTATAAGCACTTTGTATGCATTAAATTATTTCATCTTCAATAACAATCCTATGAGGTAGGTACTATTATTCTGAATTTTAAAATGAGAAAAAATGTTAATAAACTGTGTAAGATTGGGGCTGGGAGTACAGTACAGTGGTAAAGTCTATGATAGCATTTTGCAAGGACTGAAATGAGTCAATCCACAGAAACACACACACACACAGAGTAAACAAACTGTCTTTAGACTTAAAGATTCTAGGTTGTCCTTCCTATAGGTTAGGGGTTAGCAAAATTATTCTGCACGAAGCCAGAGAGTAAATATTTTAGACTTTGAAGACTGTAGAGTTTCTTCTATTGTTGCTGAGGACCGACACGCATCCTACAATAAAGACCACAGAGCTATATTCCACTAATACCCCATAGAGTTACTCACTGAAGCCCTTGTGCAGAAGCAACCACACAGTTGGTAACAGAGAAGGATGCCTGTGTCCCAGCAAAATCTGATTTAGGAAGAGTGGTTGCTCTTTGCCACAGCTGATAGTAATATCGGGTTTCTAAACAAATTTTAAAAGCTGAAATTGGGTTTTAACATGGTTAACTCTGACTACAAAGTGTTGGAGACGAGCTGAGCGTGTCAAGCTTCGAATCACAAGTAATGTCCCATATTGCCAAACAGAAACAAAACAAACGCACAACTGTGAGTCCTACGTGTCATTTTAAATTGTCTAGAGTCACATTAGAAAGCCCCTAGCTTTGAAAGTAAATTTAATTTGAATACATTTAACCCCATATACTCTAAAAATAGCTGTAATGGATAATCACCATAACATTGAAATTTACATTCTTGTTACTAGCGTGTCTTCAAAATCTACAATCAATTTTTATACTTAGGGACATCAGTTTGGAGTAGGTCACGCCTAATAACTGTATGTAGATAATGGCCACATACTGGACAGCACAAACTAATCACCAATTAGAGACTGGGAGTTGTGTAGATCATTGTACAGCTTGCTGAGGGAAGGCATAAGTTCAACGGCCAAAACCAAGAAGACAATGAAAATAATCTAAGGATTCCCTGTATATGGCTGATGATCTCAGCCCATTCTGACTGCTTTGCCAGTTGGTTCTGGACCCAATTCTAAATTGTAAACCATGGTTTAACTAGCAACTCAATAATCCGATGTCTTCATTTTTTTTCAGGCGATATTTCTTCACCGTTTAGTTTCTACATACACTTTCGCGCCTGATTTCCAGTGAAATCATATGGGCATGTGCTAAATCAGTTTTACAAATGAGCATACAAAATTCACAGAAACTAAATAACAGCTAAAAAAAAAATATTGGTTAAAACGGGAGGAATCAGATCTCACTTCTAATCAAACCTATCTGAGCCTTGATAGCATCACCTGTGATTAATGTTGCACGTTTGCATTTGTCTGTGAGACAGGTTTAATGTTCTCTACCACACTGTTAACTTCATAAAGACCATGGGACCCCAGGGGTCCAGCTTTCCGCGTTCATAGTATTCACTGACTGAACAGAGTTCCTGACTTTCCAGTGTTTGGGGTTGGTTAAATGTATCTTTGCTTTGTAATTGACGTGCAGGTGGAGCCCAAGAATATCACTGAAAAAAACAAAAACAAAAAACAAGAAACTTTTTTTTTAATTGAAGTTCTAAAGCTTCACTCCCACTATCCTTCGAAGGAGATCGTGAGCGAGGGGCTGGTGCGGACCCTTCCCTCAAGTCGTCGTGAAGCTTCGCAGAAAACTAACTGCAGGGGAGAGGATCCGAGCTCCCACCCAGAGAGAGCAGGCAGGGGCTCGGTCCCGCTGAGAGCCAGGACCTTAGAGCGAGGGGAGTCGGTTTCCCGTTCCCTCGTTCCCTTTCGTCGAGTCCCCTCCGCAGCCGCCGACTCGGCGACACACAAAGGTAACCCTGGGGTCCCTTCCCACGTCCCGGTGGTCAGTCCGCCACGGCCGCGGAGCGAGTCCCGCTGAGCCCGGCCGCCATCTTCCCCATTGGCTCGACCCCAACCGCCACCCGCCGGCGCCCACAGGCGCGGCCCTCACCTCTCCTCACAGTCTTTGCATTTCACTTGCAAGGGGACAAGGTCCTGGAACAGAACTTGACTCATGTCGGACCGCTGCCCCGACGGCTGTGCGAAAAAGCCCAGCAGGCCTGGGCCTCAGTGCCAGTTTGTAAGAAGTCCCCGGCCTGACAGAGTTTAAGTTTGGCGCTCAGCTCCCGCGGAGGAGGCGGGGAACGATAAACACAGGGAACGTAGGAGGTTTGGCCCTCGGCAGCCACCATCAGCTCCGTCCGGCTCAGGGGCGCGAACGCGCCGCGGTGGTTGCGTATATCCGGTTATTAACCCGCGAGGTGGGACGCACGCACCCACACCGCCCCCAGGCGGCCATGTTTGTTAAGGGCAGGGGACCATAGGCTGGCGGCGGCTTGGGGCCGGGTGCGGGGCGCCCGACAGCCGAAAGGATCGTGGCTTATGGAGGCCCCCGCGCCGCCCTCGCACGCGACCGCTTTACCAGCGGAGGGCAGATGCAGCTACTTCGTGGAGAAGAAGAAGCGCTTCTGCAGGATGGTGGCGGCCTCGGGGAGAAGGTTCTGTGGTGAACACGCTGGCGCCGCGGAGGTCAGGTACCGCCCCACCCTCCCGAGAGTTTCCGGGTCTGTGGGTGCAGGAGCCCGGCCTCGCCCCCTCTGACCGGTTCCTGCCTCTGTCCCACGGACTCTCCCGCTTTTCCGGCTGTAAATGCAGCTCTGACATCCGCGCGGAGCCGTGATGAGCCCCCCCCCCCCCCCCCCCCCCCCGAGGAGCCTTGTTTTCATGTCCTGAGTAACGCGCCCCTTGAGATGCTCTTTCAGATCTGTGGAGCCAGCCTCCCGTGCTTCTCTTGTGCTCAAGGGAAGTGATTCTTTTTACAGAGTAGTGTTTGAAGTCACTAGGTCTTACCATCGGGGCTTTAATTATTGTTTTATGAACGATAACCACGTGTGAATGCATCAGGAAGAAACTTGGAAATTTTCTTACTTAGACTTCACCAGGAAACACCTTATGAACTTGTGATATTGTTCTGGGATGGAAAAGGAAAAAAATATTAACGCACATAACAATTTTAATTGAAAAAAAGCCGTTGAAAGCAAATTGCACTGTTTTTTAGGGTTTTTGTTTGGTTTTGGGGGAGGCAGCAGACACTTGGTGGTAATGTAAGACATTTCCATTGTAAGTGCAGAGCATTAGTAGCTTCTAGTGCCTAGAGAACCAAGGACGTTGCTAACCTACACATCACAGGACAGTCTCATCCCCCTTTTCACCAGAAAAGAAAACACCTCAATAACAATAGCACATGATATACACTCAAATAGTAAATTTTTAAAATGCTTTTGTGTGTGTGTGTGTGTGTGTTCTCTGATTAGGCTTTGCAAGTTAGAACACAGTCCTACTTACTTTGAAAGTTAATTTTCCTGTTTGTTCTTGAGGCAGGGATCTTGCTATATTTCCCATGATGGTCTTGAACTCTTTCTCTCAGAGATTCTCCTGCCTGAGCCTCCCAAGTAACTGGTCTTCACCAAAGAACCAAACTGGAAATTAAGTTTTAAAATCTGTACATAAGGAAGAAATAATGTTATCTTAAAAATACTGAATAATTTTAACTTTCCCTAAAATTTAATGTACACAAATTCATTAACATACTGAAATTAATTGAAATAAAATTGAGAAAAAATAAGAGTAAATATGTGGTCAGTTTTTTCTGCGTGGCTTAGCATTATACTAAGCAGTGTTATTATCTTGCTTTTAAAAATTCAACTTTCATAAACCTTAGGAAGTAAATCATGCTGTTATTCTCATCTTTTGCATGAGCCTCTGTAGGGCCATAGGTGTAGCAGCTAATAGAACTGAGACTCACACCTAAGCAGTCCTGCTCGTCTCTAGCTTTAACAATTGTACCATAGTGCTCCACACACGTTCATAGCACCTGTGGAGTACAGCTTTAACAATTGTACCATAGTGCTCCACACACGTTCATAGCACCTGTGGAGTAGAGCTTTAACAATTGTACCATAGTGCTCCACACACGTTCATAGCACCTGTGGAGTACAGCTTTAACAATTGTACCATAGTGCTCCACACACGTTCATAGCACCTGTGGAGTACAGCTTTAACAATTGTACCATAGTGCTCCACACACGTTCATAGCACCTGTGGAGTACAGCTTTAACAATTGTACCATAGTGCTCCACACACGTTCATAGCACCTGTGGAGTACAGCTTTAACAATTGTACCATAGTGCTCCACACACGTTCATAGCACCTGTGGAGTACAGCTGCCAGTGCTCGCTGTTTTCCTTTAGTTTCTCCCGGTGCCTACAGTTAAATGTGTATAGCTCAGAATATTGTGACTAGCATACTGAAAAGTTGCAACGCTGGTGAATATGGCCCGTTCTAAATTGTGTCACGCCTCGTTTTTCCTCACATATTTTATTTCTATATTTATTGAGACAGGGTCTCAGTATGTAACACTGACTGGCCTTTGACTCGAGATCTGCCTGCCTCAGCGCTAGAGTACTGAGACTCAAAATATGTTCCTCCGTGCCTAGCTTTTCCCCATATTTTAACAACCTAGACTTAAATATGCATTTTAAAATCAACAACATAATTTTAATGGGCAACATTTTCCAAAATTAATTAAGTATTCAAGTATTATGTATGTTAGCACAATTTAGCCATTTATACTCAGTATATATGTATTTCAAAAGATCATTTTATACATGATAAATATTTTACAGTATTTTGTTAGTTAATCTGAAATAAATGGTTAACATCTTTTCTTAGTGGTGCATATAATGACTGCACCAATTTTTAGCAGGTATCATCTGTGATGCAAAATTATATACATAGGCCAAAACAGTATTTTTTTTTTTACAGAAGCCACTAACAGTTTTTTTTATTGTTACGAACATGACCTGATCTTGCTTATTTTTCATTATGAATTTTTAAAGTTTCCTTACCTTGTTTTGGTAATAGAGATACACTGTGGGTATATCTAACAGCTGAATGTAATAAACTGTATATATAAGTAAATGTATCCATTTTAATTTATTAGGAAGAGAATGCTCGGAAAAGAATCTTGTGTCCTTTAGATCCAAAACAGTAAGTATTTAGATCAGATAAACGTTTTGTTGTCGTTTGGGTTGTGTGTGTGTGTGTGTGTGTGATGTACTAGAAACAGTAACTTCAAAAGACTCATTTAAGATTTTCTCTCTCAAATTTTCTCTTTAAATTTAGCACAGTATATGAAGACCAACTAGCAAAACATTTAAAAAAATGTAACTCAAGAGAGAAGCCAAAGCCTGTAAGTGTTTGAAATGTGTGGTATGTGGTGTTTATATCCAGTACTACTTAGTGTTATAAGGAGCAGGTTGAATTTGGCAACCTTTAAGTGGCCAACTATTTAACTTCTCACTTGATAACTGTACTTTTCTTCCCTCCTTCTTCCCCTGCTTCCTCTTTTCTTTTTCCTTGTTCTTGTGTTTTGTTTGGGATTCTGATTGGTTAGATTAGAGGCAGGCTTCACTGAGTAGCCCAGGCTGACCTGAGGCTCTTCTCCTTTAGCTTTGCAATTACTGAGATTATTGGTTTGTGCCACCCTGACCAGCCCAGAATTTTGACACGTTTTATTTTTGGTTGCTTCTTTGCTTTTGAGGTCAGGGATGGTGCTGTGCTGCTCAGGCTGGACTTGAGTTCATCTCAAACATTTCTCATGCCTTCCCTCCAAGTGTATGGTGATAGGTGTATGCCACCGCCCCCAGCTTGATAGGGGTGATGGGGCAGCAACAAGAGATTTGGAGTCTTTAGAATTAAGGTTGTAAAGACTTAACTGCTGGGCATCTTTGAGATTCAGACTCAGTATAGAAATAGTGGGCCTGAGCTAGCACCAGTCCAGATGAGTCTTTCACAGTGTTCACCCAAACAAAGGCTGAAAATCCAATTTCTGTTTGGTAACAAAATACGATAGGGTGACGGTAGATAACTATACAGAATGGTAGGTAAGTATATTTACTTAATGAAATGGAGCGTTTTACAATTTGTACTCCAATGTTGGGCTTGTTGTTCATGTTTTAGCTTTGGTTTTTTGAGACAGGATTTCTCTGTGTAGCATCCCTGGCTGTACTAAAACTTGCTCTGAAGACCAGGCTGAGCTCTGTCTCTCAAGTTCTGGGATAAAAGGCATGCGCCACCACTGCCCAGCAGCATGTTGTAAACCTCAAATATATAATATAAAATTGATTTTAAATGTCAAAGACATTAAAATAAGAATAGAAAATTTTTAATGATATAAAGTAAAATGTTGAACACATATAGTAATGGTTTGACCATCAGCTATCAACCTGATCAATATAATTGATGTGTATGGATATGTATCTCTAAATATCTACAGGTAAAGAAGTTAGTTGTCAGGCAAAGTGTGTTTATTTAATTGGGAGTAAATAGCAGAGAGCACACACTATGTTGTCACACGTTAGCTTGTCGCAGGTTTATGGATGCCAGCAGGAAATTAGGAGACTCCTGGGTCAGAGACAGAAAAAGGCTGAAATGCCTGTCATCAATGCCTGCCGTCAGGGGCTCTCCCACTAGACTACACCACGTCTGGGAATTTGTATTATTCACCTCATGGAAGCAGTAAGGGCATCTTTCTCAGGTCAATTATCCTTGTCTCTCAAAGCCTATAGACTTAACTCTGGAACTCTGTTGGGAATACTGCATATGCAGTGACTTTCCCTGAAGCTGAGCAGCCCCGTCTTCAGGAAAGACTTTTTTCCCTAAATTGGGGCAGTGAGCAACCCTACCTCACCTGTGCTCCATAGGAAGACATTTTTCTTTATTATACTGTACAGTAAGTAAGCCTGCTGCGGGATCTAGGAAGATGCTATTTCCACCTAATGAGGGTGGTTGATACGCAGCTGTCCTTGAAAGGCTAGTCTGGGGCACAGTGAGACTTGTAGGAAATCAAAGACCCGGCAAAAGTGACTCCCAGGAGCACTTCTCAGTTTTGTTTTGTTTTTGTTTGTTTGTTTTTGTTTTTAAGAGGAGAAAAAAAAGCAGAGTTTCACTATGTAGACCTGGAGCTTACTATATAGACCAGGCTGGCCTCAAACTCACAGAGACCTGCCCCAGCGTCTTGTCTCCTGAGCGCTGTCTCAAAGGCTTGCGCCGCCACTGCACCCAGCCCTCTGTTCTGTCATTTTGCTACAGATATCCTTCCACATTGTCAGATGTCTCCCAGTTGAGAAGCACTGCTGTAAGTGGAAAGTAGTTTAGCTGCCTGTGACATCTCATATCTGTAATCTTGGCACCTGGGAGGCTTAAGCGAGAGGATTGCCATGAGTCCAGAGCCAACTTGGACAACATAATAAATTTTAGGCCAGCCTTGGCCACCAATTGAGCTTCAGTGTGAGATCCCCTACTGAAGGGCAGACATGGTATTTGAACAGCAAGGTAACATAGAAGAGAAGCAGTGACCTCCTGTCCACCCCTTTAGGACTTAGCTCCTTTAGTAAAGAGAGAAGTTAGTCTGATCCCACAGGCCTAACTCTGGGGGACCAATGGACCAGACTCGGCCATCCACCCCCTCAGAGGCCAATCAGGTTGTGATGAAGTTAGAAAACATTTTTCAGGGAGGCTGGAGAGATGGCTCAGAGGTTAAGAACATTGCCTGCTCTTTCAAAGGTCCTGAGTTCAGTTCCCAGCAACCACATGGTGGCTCACAACCATCTGTGAGGGGTCTGGTGCTCTCTTCTGGCCTGCAGGCATACACACAGACAGAATATTGTATACATAATAAATAAATAAATATTTAAAAAAAATTTTTCAGTATGGTCTCATGTTTTGTGCTGGTATTGGTGACTACACAGGAGAAAAGCAACAGCACCATGAACGAGGCTGACTGACCTTTACCCGGGGCTGGTTCAGTGAGGTCCTATGGCTCAGGGAACATCTTATTCCTTGAAGTAGGCGCTACTGTTGGTGGTGCTGTTCTGGCTCCAGCCGAGGAAAGATAATGCTTCCTTTTGAGACAGCCTCCTTTGCTACCTTAGAGTAACCTGCTTCCGAGACTCCCTGTTCCTGGGTTTTATAGTGTGTCTTTCTTTATCTTAGTATCTTCATTCTTAGAGGTGAATAAAAGGAGATGAGCCTTATATTACTAGTTTTCAAATGGAAAGGCCTGAGGTGATTAACATGTCAGTTCAGCAGGGGTCTTGCCCAAGTCTAAGGTAGCACAGGCAGAGCCATTCTCCTGGTTCAGTGCCTGTCAAACCTCTGCTAGACCCAGGAGAAGAGCTGGTGCTTCTGCCACGAGCAGCCTTTAAGTTCTGTGAGAAGGCTTTACTTCAAGTACCTTCCTCTCCTATGGGTCAAGTTTCAGTAGGCACATGGGTGGGGCATGTGTTCGGGAAAACTGAGTGCGATAATATTTGGTGATTGAGTTAATGTGAGAAAAAGGTGATGGTGGGGGAGGGTGAAGGGAAGAAGCAGTTTTTCAGCTTCTTTATTGTGAGCTTTGTATTAATATGTTATGATTTTGTTTTGTCAAGGATTTCTTTATTCAAGATATAAATGCAGGATCAAAGCATGAAATGGAAATTCCTGAGCAGTTAGTAAGTATATTATTTAATACTTAACTCCTTGTGCATTGACCGTTCCCCGCTTTTGTTTGGAAACATCTGTTGTTTTGACGTGAAGGTGTATTTTCCTATAAACTACTTTTGTTAGTGATTGTTAGTTCCCAGACCAGCTTATGTCCCATAGCACACTGCAGTGTGGTTCTGTTGTGAGCTCACTGAGCCCAGTCCTGACCCTGAGGGATTGAGGGCCATTAAAGTACCTCAGCACAGACTGAGTGGTGCCTTCACCGTTGGGCAGTTCCCATGGCTGCCTGGGAACAGAGTCTTTAAGGAGAAGACCTTAAATTGCCATGGGTCTGCCCAGTGTTAAGCTTCTACTCATTTTTGTTGTGGTACTTTAAGGCTTGTTTTGACTACATTTATTTAGTTTTATTTTTGTATATAGGTTCCATTTTCTTCTCTATCTGAAGAGCAGTTGAAAAACTTAATTAAGAAACTGAGGAAAGCAAGTGAAGGTAAGCCTGCCTAAAGTTGCAAGTTCAAGTATTTGAGAAGCACTAGGTGGTGTATGAATTGATACCTCCTGTTCGTTATTCAGAGTCCATGTCTGGCTGCTTAGGCTATAACGTTTTTTCTTTGAACAGGCTTGAATTCTCCACTTAAAGATCACATTATGTCCCATCCAGCATTATATGATGCCCTTAATGACCCTAAAAATGGTGATTGTGCTGTCAAGCACCTGAAACAGCAGGTATGTTTCAACCACAATAACTTAGCCTTTGTTTATATGTTTAATGCTAACGTCTCATCTGTGTGATGAGATGGCTCACCAGATGCAGGCACTTGCTGCTAAGCCTGGAGTTCAGTCCTCTAAACCTAATGGTGACAATCAATTCTTATAGACTGTCCTCATGTTTATAAATAAAAGTAATTTTTAAAAGCTAACATTCTAGCTAGACTTGGGAGTACGTGCCTTTAATCCCAGCACACCAGAGACAGAGACAGGCACATCTGAGTTCAAGGCCTGCCTGGTCTACAGAGTGACTTCCAGGACAGCCAGGGCTTGAAAAAAAGTATTAAAGATACCTATTTCGGTGGTGACGCATGCCTTTAATCCCAGCACTCGGGAGGCAGAGGCAGGCGGATCTCTGTGAGTTCGAGGCCAGCCTGGTCTACAAAAGGAGTTCCAGGACAGGCTCCAAAGCTACGAAAAACCAAAAAAAAGACAGTAACTAGTTTTTTTAAGTGGACAAAATGCCTTTATTCAAAATTATATGTGAACATAAAGTAAAAATTTCAGCATGAAATATCTGAGTACAGATATTATTTTAAAGAAAAAAGGAAAAATGTCTTAGCCTTTCAGAAGTTATCAGTGAAAACATTCTGTCTTGGGTAGAGATTATTTTGCTGATTTTGAATTTGAATCGAATTCCTTTACTCTAGTTTATAAAATAATCCTATGGAGTTTGCAGGCTTCTATTTTAGGTAACATTGAAAAATTAAAGTTACTTGGTCCAAGAAGATGCTTTGTTGAGTTTGGAGCAGGAAAGGGGAAATTATCTCACTGGGTCGATATTGCCTTAAAAGATGCTGAAAACGTTCACTTCATCCTGGTAGAAAAAGTGACCACAAGATTCAAGGTAAGTAAAGCCATTGTAGGAGCTTAATAACCAAACATATTCTTTCCCTGTAGGAAAAAAAAAATGATAGGAGCCTGTCTCTTAAAATGAATTTCCTTTTTTATATATTTGATTATAATTTTTGCCATTATTGGTTCTAATTGTACTGGTTAAACTGAAGGTAACTTTTTAAATTTAAATATTAATAGCTCATGATCTGTGTTCTTAAAATTGTTTGCAGAGACAGGAAAATCTATGAACAGAACCAGGTTTCAGCTAGGAGTTAAGCCACGTCCTAACCTTACCTTTGCCAGTGCTTGCAGACTTCCTTCACTAAATTCTTCTTAAGCATATTCTTGGACACCGTGATAGGCATACTGTCTATGCAGACAGATATTGATAAGGCAGCTGCGCTCTTTAGGTGTGCTTAGAAAGGAGAGCTAGATGAATACGTAAGGAAAGTGTTAAAGACAGGAAGTTCTGCCCCGTATGTGCTATCAAAGGAAAACGGGATAGTCTTGGTTAGAGGGAGGCAGTGGAGAACCATGCAGAAAAGGTGGTGCCTGTGATCATCTTGAAAAATGAATTAGTATTTGCTGATAGGGTGTGAGAAGCACTCTGGGAAATAAGAACAGTGTTACCACATGCCTGGGGTAACAAAGGAAGCATTTCTGTGTGATGGAAATCCAAGGCTTTAGGTAGACTGTGGCTGTATGAACTAGGAAAGAGAGCTGGTCTAGAAAGGCCTCCTGTTGTACGCTCTTGGTTTTGTCCTGTTCTGTGTTAGAGATACGGTGAAGATTTGGTTCTTGCTTCTAAGCGGCTTCCATGCAGCGTTTTAGCTCTCTAAGTGTGTTATAGCGATGAGCAGTACTCATGCCACAGGAACATGAAGGCAGGGAACTGGTCTCAGTCTTCGCCAGTTGTCACGAAGTTTCTAAGGATGATTTTTTAACTTTCTGTGGAGCTAGAGACATGGCTCAGTGGTTCAGAGTGTGCACTGCATTTCCAGAAGATCTGAGTTTGGTTCTCAGCCCCAGTATCAGGCGGCTCACAGCTTCCTGTAATTCCAGCTCTAGGAGACCTAACACCGTCTTCTGGCCTCCTTGGGCACCACACACAGATGGCACATGCACACACACACGTAAAAACGTGTTTTAGATGCTATCCTAGGAAACTGTAAGACTATTTCAGAATTTTAAACTAAAAATAGGAAGATTAAAAATATGAAAACTTTTATTCAATAATACAAGTAAGAAATGTACTGGAGAGTAAAGGCCATTCTGTGGACTTTATAAGAAAGAAAGAATGATAAATGTTACTACGGTGGAAGTCATAAGACTTGCTTATTTATTATTCATTGTTTTTAAGCGAGCAGTAATCTGGGATAGTTTCTGGCTTAACTGGGCACAGGTATTCTTGAGGAGGAAAAACACGAGTTCAGTTCTGTGTGGGTTTAGTTTTCTGTCTGCATGTTTCTGAAGGCTTGTGCCTGTGATTTAGTGGGACATATTTTGCTTAGCATTCATAAGGTGCTGGGTTTGAATGCCATTAAAAAAAAAACTTTTTGTTATTTTTATTTTTCCAAGACAGGGTTTCTTTATGTAGCCCTGATTGTCCTGGAACTAGCTCTGTAGACCAGGCTGGCCTCGAATTCAGAGATCCACCTGTACTCAGCCTCCTGAGTGCTGGCATTAAAGGCGTGCCGTGCCACCACCACCACCTGGCTGAAAACAAAAAACTTTAAAAGGGGGCTGAGGCTGGAGCTCAGTGGTCAGTTGCTGCCATGGCATGGATATGGTCTGCCTTCAATCTCTAGCACTGTTGAAAAGAGAAAAAAAAGCGGGGTGGGGGAGGGGGTAAATGTAGCTGATGATTCTTAGATCTGGACCAGTGTGCATAAGCACGTGGGTGTAATGCTTAAAATGCTGTATTTAAAGAAAGTAAGAAGAGTGAGCCACAGTAGAACCAGGGATGATAAAGACGGAAACGCTGATAAGTAACCATAGCCACTTAACCTCTGTGAACCCTGATTTCTTTGCGAATGGGTTGGTAATAGTTATGGGGTAAGAGAAATAATGTGGCCAGGCACACACCTTTAACCCCAGCACTTGGGATGCAAAGACAGGAGAATCTCCATGAGTTCAAAGCCAGCCTGTTCTACAGAGTGAGTTCCAGAAGAGCCAGGGCAATCATAGAAAAACCCTGTCTGGAGAGACAGACAGACGTGGGATGTGGGATTCCCGTCTGTATGCTGTGAATACGATTGGTTAATTAATAAAGAACACTGTCTTGGCCTGTTAGAAGGGCAGAACTTAGCGAGGTGAGGAAAACTAAACTGAATGCTGGGAGAGAGAAGGTGAAGTTAGAGAGAAGCCATGGAGCCCCACTGGAGACAGATGCCGTAATATTGCCCAACATTACCCGGTAAGCCACAGCCATGTGGCAATACACAGATACTAGAAATGGGTTAAATTAAGATGTAACAGTTAGCCAATAAGAAGCTAGAGCTAAGCCGGGCGGTGGTGGCGCACACCTTTAATCCCAGCACTCGGGAGGCAGAGGCAGGCAGATCTCGTGAGTTCGAGGCCAGCCTGGTCTACAAGAGCTAGTTCCAGGACAGGAACCAAAAGCTGTCTCGAAAAATCAAAAAAAAAAAAAAAAAAAAAAGAAGCTAGAGCTAATGGGCCAAGCAGTGATTTAAATAATATAGTTCCTGTGTGATTATTTTGGGGCTGAGCAGGCAGGAACCAGCAAGTGGCCTCCTTCAACATATATGTATATAATAGTAGTAACCAGTAGAATTTCTAGCCTTTTAAAAGGGATGTTGTTATTTTTGAGCTTTCATCCAAAATCTAAACCTTGAAGTTGTTCATTCTCTGTAACTGAAATTTGAAAACAAATAGATATTTTCATAAAGCCTTTTTTTTTAAACATTGAATGCTGATTCAGTAATGTCCTGTTTATGCAGGTAGACGGTAAACACAGAAGAAAGAACTCAGCGTTTGAAAGACTTCAAATTGATATTCAACACTTGTGTCTAAGTGAGTCACGTAACTCTTCACTGCTCTACTGCAAGTCAGACATTCCAGACTTTGGGGGCTGTTAGAATTCTGTTCTCACAGACCTGAGCTTCAGGAAGAACAAAGTAATACTAGTGCTTTGGTAATACAAGTATATGTAACTTAATAAACATAAATGGAGTGAGGATTGAAACCTACAAATTATTTTGTTGCTGGGTGGTGGTGGTGGCAGCAATATACACCTTTAATCCCAGCATTCAGGAGGCAGAGGCAAGCGGATCTCTTTCAGTTCAAGGCCAGCGTGGTCTACAAAGTGAGTTTCTGGACAGCCAGGGGCTGTTACACAGAGAAACCCTATCTTGAAAAAGAAAATTATTTTGTTATATCAGCCGTAAGTGTAGTTGATAATGCAGGAAGTTCAAAACTTTTGATATGTTTTTATATATTGCTTCCTTGTACTTTTAAAATTAATTTTGAGTAATGCAGTTATGATGGCGCACACTTTTAATCCCAGCACTCAAGATGCAGAGGCAGGCGGATCTCTGTGAGTTCCAGGCCAGCTAGGGCTGCGTATTAAAACCTTGTCTTAAAAAAACTAACTTGGAAAAAAAAAAAAAAACTAACTTGGAGTATTCAAACTAGCCTTCAGACCATAGTTAACAGGACTGTCAAAATCATTAGAGGAAAAGAGATAGTTCTTTGTGTAGCTAGTATATAAATCATAGGTCCTCAGAATTCTGTCATAATGAAAGTAACTTATTGCTATGGAATTAATAATCCATACACACACATATGCACACCTACACATGAACACAAATGCAATCACATGCATACACACTCACACATATATATAATTGCATACACACACATATGCCTCATGGTTGTTCTCTTTAGTGCCTTTTCTTTTTACATCTTCTAACATTTTTCTTTTTTTTTTCTTTTTGGTGTTTTGAGACAGGGTCTTCCTATGTAGTCCTGACTGTCCTGGAAATCACTGTAGACTAGTCTGGCCTCAAACTCACAGAGATATGCCTTCCTCTGTCTCCTGAGTGGTAGGATTAACGGTATGCACCACCACACCTGCCTGTTTCATATTTTAAAAGAAAATAATGCAACATTTACAAATATTTTTCCATCCACTAATTTTATTCTGGTTTTGAGAAGCAGCCAAGCATTTGTATAGAAATCGTATTTTCTTCTGCTTAACTGAAGCCAGGAATGTTATGTGTTTACTCAGGTAATTCCATCACGTGGGAGGCTGAGGCAGGAGCATCACCCCAACTACATAATGAATTTCAGGCCAACCAGTAATACATACGAGAAAGAAGAAAGTCGTTTGTTTGTTTATCCGAATATTTTTCTATGTCATATACTAAACACAGACACATTCTTAGGTTGTATATTGGATTCTGTGAGAATTTTTTCCCCCACATCTTTCATCTCCAAAGTTCAAAGACTAAAAACCTTTCTTTTGGAAAGACACTTTAATATTTCTATCATAAGCAAACTAACCTAATTCTTACTGTTTTTGTCTCAGACAGGATCCCTGTGCTAAGAGAAGGAAGACTGCCTGTGGTAGGGATTGGGAAGCATCTGTGTGGGGTCGCAACAGGTAAGCCAGACACACAGTACCCTCTAAACTAACACTGAGCTGGAACCTAGATGGCCCTGCCATCTCGGGGGGCCGCTTAGGCTCTCATTTAACCCATGTAACAGCTTTCTAAAGCCATTTCATCCTGGTACAGGAGGGAAGCATACACCTTTGGTTCCTTTCATCTAGCCCCTGCCTCTCAGAAACCTGACCCTACAGAGGCTGCTTCCCCTTTTCCACCCCCTCTCCCCTTTCGCTCTGCTGCAGGCGCCTTCCCTCAGTGAGGTTCAGCGTCCTTCTCTTAGTGCTTCCCCTCACCAGGGCCATTCCTTCCATTGTTTTGTGTTCCCCTTCTTGAAGTATTAATATTTAGACCCTTCTGTGACACACAGTGTTCTTGTCCTCCCCTTCTTGAAGTATTAATATTTAGACCCTTCTGTGACACACAGTGTCCTTGTCCTTCCCTTCTTGAAGTATTAATATTTAGACCCTTCTGTGACATACAGTCAGTATGTGTCGGAGTTCACTGTTGACCAACATGAACCATGGCTATTTTCTCAAAGGCCATGTTGACCAACATGAACCATGGCTATTTTCTCAAAGGCCATGTTGACCAACATGAACCATGGCTATTTTCTCAAAGGCCATGTTGATCAACATGAACCATGGCTATTTTCTCAAAGGCCATGTTGCTCCAACCATTCCTAGAATTCCACTGTTACCTGTTTGAAAAAACTGCTCATCTGTGAGCTCAACTTTCTCCACGTTTTTGGAGCCTCCTTAGTGTTATCAAAATATGCTCTGCATAGCTGTTCCTTGTTTTCTAAGTATCTGTTTATATATCCAATCACACTGCTGTGCTGGGATTCTTTTCAAGCTCATTGCATTTGCTAATACAATTCTTGCTATATGAGAGAGACTCTGAATATTTGAAATGATCTTGACCACCAGCTTACTGCCTCTTTTTTCCTTCTAAGAAGAAGGTTTTTAAGGTCACTATGAAAGAGTTTGTGATTGCCAATGTTCTCTTTGTTTCTGAAATAACTTAATTCTTTTAATAATTTTCTGATTATAATTCTTTAAATTATGTTTAAGTCAAATGTAAATAAAATAGCAAATATATTTTGTTAGAAAATAAGTTGATGGACCTGGATGAAGTAACATGCCTCTACTCCCAGATACTCAGGAAGCTGAGGCAGGAGGATCACTGAGCTAAATGATCACTTGAGTTCATCCTCAATCTGGGCAACATAATGAGACCCGTTCTCACATATGAGAGAGGAAAAGACAGAGAAACACAGACAGATAGTGAATTACCAAATTAGCTATCACTTTATCCAAATAATGTTGGTTATTTATTATTATTATCATTATGGTTATCCCATAATGTTGGTTGGCATGATTAAAATTTATTGTAAAGATCACATAAATTATATCCCTTTTATATCATAGGGTAACAAATTTTAGAATATCATTTGTTTTTAATTAATAGAGTATGATATGACAATCTAATCAGATAAAATATAAGTTTCACAGCATACATTTGTGTTCTTTCCCATATTGCCAGCTATCAGTATGGCAATTTAGGGAGGTTTAATTTGGGTTTTTTAATTAATTTATTTTTATTGTATATGTATGGATATTTTGTCTGTATGCATGCCCAGTGCCCACAAAGGCCAGAAAGTGCCAGATCCCCAGGAACTGGAGTTATAGACAGTTGTAAACCATCCTGTGTGTGCTGGGAACCAAACCTGGGTGCTCTGCAAGAGCAGCAAGTGCTTCCAACCATTGAGCCATCTCTCCAGCCCCTACTATGGCAGTTTTATTTCCTGCATCCTCAGTGTTTTGTATATACAAGGCATTTAGCAAATATTTGCTGAACAAATGCCTGTGTACAATAAAACTATTTGCCTGCTTTTCATACTGAAACTTCCTTTTCTCAACTTTTTTTTTTTTTGTCTTGTTTTGAGACAAGGTTTCTCTGTATCTTTGGAGCCTGTTCTGGAACTAGCTTTTGTAGACTAGGCTGGCCTCGAACTCACAGAGATCCACCTGCCTCTGCCTCCCGAGTGCTGGGATTAAAGGCGTGCACCACCACCTGCCCCTTTTCTTAACTTTTTAACGCATCATTATTTATTGTGACAAGCTTACATTTCAAGACTAATATCTTAGCCAGGTGTGCTGGCACACACCTGTAACCAAAACACCAAGAGATGGAAGCAGATAATCAGAAGTTTGAGGCCAACATCAGCTATGCAGAACCGATCTCAAAACAAACAGATACAAAACCAAAAAAACTAGCTTCTTGAACCTGGGTCAGTCTCTAAGCTCCTTTGTTTCTTCCTTTGGAGTTTCTTAAGTGTATAACTTTAGTTGGGATGGGAGAAATGAAAGACAATGCAAATAGTTGAACAAAAGTTTTTTAAATCATAGGGCTTAAACTTCCTTCAATTTTATTGGGAAGTAGTCTTTATGGAAAATAAATCTTAGGAAATTAAGATAGGATGGCCAATTTGAGAAAAATGTATAATATATGCTAGAATCATTACAGTATATAGCTAAATAGATTTTTGCTAGTTTGTGTTGTTTGTTTTGTTTTTAACCACACTGCTTAAGAAATCTGAAGAATATTTTTAAAGATGACGTGGTTTGGGGCCATGTCGTTGTGTTTGCAGACCTTGCATTGCGATGTTTGGTGGAAACCTATGCTGCCAATTTTGAAGAAAGGACTGAAGAACCTTTAGCCAAACGCGTCAAGAATGATAAAACAGAAGAAGAAAGTAATGCTTTGTCCAAGGAAGTAAGTGAAGAAGATACCCCAGAGACACGGACCCCAGTGGCTGGCATTGTCATCGCACTTTGTTGTCACCACCGCTGTGACTGGAGACATTATGTGGGCAGAGAGTATTTCAAGGCACTAGGCCTCGGGGCAGAGGACTTCTACTATTTCCAGAGAATGAGTAGTTGGGCTACATGTGGAATGAGAAGGACGTCTTTGGAAGCCTCAGACACTACTGCAGAGAGAAAAGATGACCAGAATTATGACAGCGAAGAGCATGATGAGAGAGGAGACAGACCCGCAGATGGCAGCACTGATAGTGTGCCCGGGTAAGGACGACGTTTACAGTGCACCACATGGAGGGGAAATACTGTAGTCCCCTGATGGCCCCTGTGGGTACATCTCAGGACCTCTCACAGATGTCTAGAACCTTAGAGAAAACAGAACCGACTGTGCGAGTTAGCGTGGCAGTCCAACTGTCAGTCTAATAATCGAGATGGCTGCGCCATTGACTAGTTAGTGAGTAACACACAGTGTGGATGTTCTCGACATGATCATGTGCTAGGCCAAGTTCATTCCCCAGGTAGGAGGGAGTCGGGTCAGAATGGCAATACCAATGGTTAGTTTGGGGAATTTTCATTTCAGTATTTCTAGACTGTGACAGACCTTGGGCAAGAAAAACCAAAAAAAATGAAATTGAATAGTTGCTTCTTGGTCTTTTGGCCAAGATCAAGTACAGAAAATAAAACTGAATAAGAAGGATTCTTTTTTCAGATGAATGCTATCAGCAGTTTAGTTAAGAAAATACAGTTTACAATCTAATTTTGGAGCAGGCTAAAACACATTTTAATTGTAATAATCAAAACAAGACTGGGAAGCAAGAGACAGCACCTCATGACCTGCTGGCTAGTTAGCAGCTTTGTAGTGACTGGCAGTGCCGAGCTTCTTAGGAACGCTTACAAAGCTTAACTCCCCATGTGTTTATTCACTGTAGAGTTCTGACTGCTGAAGAGAAGGAGAACATAGGACATCTTTGCAAATTGCTGATTGACCAAGGCCGACTCGAGTATTTACAGCAGAAAGGCTTCAGCCCTGCCTTAAAGTACTATACAGACCCATCAGTGTCTCTGGAAAATGTGTTATTAACTGCCGTACCAGCTCATCTGTCACCACAGGAAGCAGCTCGGTAATGGAAAAGAAACGTAAACACCACTTGTCTTCTGCAAACAAAAAAATTTAATCCTTTTTAATTTATATTTTTCTATTCACAAAAATATAAATAACAGGGTATTTTGTTTGTTTTTACTTCCAAAGTCCAAACAGAGAATTCACCAAGTTCTCCATGTATTCCTTCTCAGCAGAGCTCTTTGACTCACTTTATCCATCAGAATGTATAGAGGGACTGGCCTCTGAGTCACTTCACTTGGTCATCTGAAACACATACAATACATGAACACATAATTACAGTATAAGCCAGGCGGTGGTGGCACACGCCTTTAATCCCAGCATTCGGGAGGCAGAGGCAGGCAGATCTTTGTGAGTTCGAGGCCAGCCTAGGCTACAAGAGCTAGTTCCAGGACAGGCTCCAAAGCTACAGAGAAACCCTGTCTCGAAAAACCAAAAAAAAAAAAAAAAATTTACAGTATAAACTCTGTATTCATTTTTAGGTGTATTTGATGTTTTATTTTTTGAGCTTCAGTTGTATTAAGCGATGCCAGTTTAACAAAGATCAATCTTGAGTATGGGGATTTTTTTCAGTATGGGTATAGAAAGAATAATTGCACTTTTCTCAGATGCAGACAAATTTAGAAATGTGGAAATTGGCAGATGACGTCACCATCAAAGTGCCAGACCCGTGCCTGTATTTGTACTCTCAGAGTCTGTCCGTGACTCCAGCCTGACGGTGATGATTTCAAGGGGAAAATACCTTACCTAGTTCAGACTTCTAAAGACTGTTGTTTGTAAACATAAATCACAAATCCAATTTGAAAGTTGCATGTAACTTCTAAAGTTAATCAGTATCCTGTATCTTTTTTCAGCCTCTTGTGTATAAATTAACTATTTTTTTTTAAAAAACAGCTTCTCTCCTGTTGGGGAAAATTGTTTTTGTTTTCTCTACTGAGACGGTATCATTTGGTACTCCTTGGCCAGCCTAGAACTCAGACATCCCCCTGCGTCTTCCTCCTAAATGCTGGGATTAAAGCATGTGCCCATGCCAGCAGGAAAAGTAATTGAATTAAAATACAAATTAGATTATGAAACCAAAACCTCACATTTAGGCTTTATGTAACTGATAAGTAGTTTTTACATACAAGCAGATATTAAACCAGACATGTCATAAGACTGTTTCTCTTCCACATCTTACCCTGGGTTTGTTTCTGCATTCGTTTGAAAACATTTGAGTTGTTGGTAGATGTGCAAAGACAGATTCAGAATGACACTGAGATAGCTATTTGTATTTGGTAGGCCTGTGACTAAGCAGGAAACCAAACACATTTTAACTCCTGGCCTTTCTGTTTTACTTTAATCTCATGTGTCGTCAGAATGCCTAGGTTTAAATTCCAACCCTACCACCTCTCAGCTTTCAAGTTACTTAATCTCTGTGCCTCAATTTTCTCCTCTTAAAATAGGAATGTTGATAACAGTAATGGAGCCTACCTCACAGGGTTGTGTATATCACATGAGATAGCCAGGGAAACCAATTGGAATGGTTCCAAGCACAGAGTAAATACTAGCTAGGTATAATAATATTACATGAGTCTATTTTAATATAATAGGTGTTTGTTATTTTTATTTAAATTGTTGCTTTTTCTATTTTTTATATTTTTAAAATATAACAATTTTATGTCAAATATTGTTAATGTACATTGATTCTTCTTTGGGGGGGTTGAAATACTACTTTAATATCTTAACTGTTCTGTAGGTCAAAATTCCAGTGTGATACCACTGGGTTAAATGCAAGGATTGCCAGAGTTTTACAAGATGGCAATATTCTGTGGATCCATCCTTTATCTCCAAAGCCAAACGGTTTCTTGAGTATGTCTCAAATTGTACTTCTCTTGAATTTGCTATTGGTTTCTTCTAAAGTTAAGCTTTATGATGACATTTTATATTCATAAATAACCCAAGAGATTTTTCTGTATTTCAAAGCCTTCTGACTAGGAACTTTAAATTACATCTATAACTCAAAGAGGGAACATTTGCATATATTCCAGAGATTAAGTTCATTGATATTTTTAAGTTAATAACTCAGATTCTCCAGTCAAGAGAACATAAATGAAGATAATTCATTGTTTAAGAATTAAATCCTTATGTCATAAATGTCATTTGTATCGAAAAATTGTTTTGTATCATTAAAGTTTATATCCAGAAATGGAGAGATGGCTCAAAGGTTAAGAGAACTGACTGCTCTTCCAGAGATCCTGAGTTCAATTCCCAGCAACTACATGGTGGGTCACTGTCATCTATATTGGGATCTGATGCCCTCTTCTGGCATAAAGTCATGATTGCAGATAGAGCACTCATATACATAAAATAAATGTCTTTTTTTAAAAAATTATGTCCATAAATAAAAAAAAAATCTAACCAGCCTGGTCTACAGAGCTAGTTCCAGGACAGGCTCCAAAGCCACAGAGAAACCCTGTCTCGAAAAACCAAAAAAAAAAAAAAAAAAAAAAATCTACAGTGGGTATAATCTCGGTTCTGTTTCAGAAGACGTACGGCATACCTCATAATTCTATTTTTTCCTGTGAGCCATTCATTTCAATTATGTTCTGATAATGGTTCTGAGTACATTACGGGGAAATAAGTTTCTTCTTTGGGTGCTAACCTTAAGTCAAGATTACAGTTTTTCTAATGTCTTTTTTTTCTTGTCTCACATAAGAATGTGAGCTAGCACATGATAAATCATTATTTCTTGCCTTGCAGACTGTTCGGCTTAGCTGGCTGCCTTGAACTGCACGTCCACAGTGCATTGTACATGTCCCACGTCAGACTCACTGCTAACACTGCAGCTCATCCTCAGTCCTCCCTCCTCATTCTGCATATCAAACCATATTCAGCACCTCCTTCATTCCCCAGTGGAGCACTCCATCCGTCCCGAACACTGGTTTCCATAATTAATTATCCATTCTGTCTCCTGCTTGCCTAATACTTCATGCAGAGCCACAAACTGCTTTGAACTGTTGCCAGCCCTTCCCCAGCTTGTTCACACTGTTGCTTCCGTGACCTACAGCAGCACCAGTGACCCCTGAAGTGACCCTTGCTAAGCAGCCTCTGGGCGTCGGGGAGGGGGTTCCCAAGGGAAAAACTGTGACTGTTCCCTCTGCTTGTGCTCCTTTTCAAAGTAGCTGTTTGGTGCAGGGAGTGAGTTAAAATTTCCCTTTTCATCTATGGATTATAGATGAAATTATACTTTTAATAATTACAAGGCCAAAGTTTCTGTTTCTATGCTATTATTTCACTGTTTTTATTAAGACAGTGCCTTTGCCTTATTCTGATTTTGTTTTAATTTTAAAACGTTTTCCTTGATTATAGAAATGTTTAATTCTAAATTATGAGATGAAGTGGTTGTAACCTGTATATTATACTTTATATTCTAACTATTGAATAAAGTCCGTATTTTTCACTCCCAAATCAAATTATTTTTTAATTATTACTTGTAGATTATAGAAAAGCAATATAGAGGAAGGTCTGTTTATACTCAGCCTGGCATGCCTGCCAGTTGATCAACAAAGGTAATGATTCTTTAAGAATCAGATTTGGGGCGCTGAAGAGATGGCTCAGAGGTTAACAGCACTGGTTGCTTTTCCACAGGACCCAGTTAAATTCCCAGCACCCACATGGCAATGATCTTAACACTAGTTCCAGGGATGTGATACCCTCTTCTGGATTCTGCAGGTACCAACATGCATCCAGGCAAAATAATAATACACAAAATAGTTAACATCTAGGCAGAGGGTGTCGCTGGAGTTCAGTGACAGGACACTTGCTGTTGATTTGAGCTCTGGTACTGGAGAATCGTGCTTAGAGAGAGAAAGAACTAGAAGTCCATATTCCTACACTTGAGTGTGCAGCAAGTGCAGCTGACTCCATTTGAAAGACCATCTTTACAGCTCCTCTCCTACATACCAGAATGATGGCCGGAATCAACATTCATTCATTCTTTCAGTGTTGGCCAGTTTGATGGGAAAGATAAGATAGAATGGAGAATCCCCAAAAGGCTTAATAGAAAGAAGTAAATTGTATCCACATTCTCTTCCAAAGCTATTTAACCCGTGTTGTCTATAAATCCGTACCTGTTCTCCGTGACTCTTGTATATATGCATGCATGAACTGAAGTCCAAACAGCTCCCGTTCCTCCTCTCCTTCTGTGATGTCACTGGGAGGGAGGGTCACTTCCAGTCTGAGCGGGTTGTCTCGAAAGTTGACAAACCTAGAAGTTCACCAGAAAACAGTATTTCTATAGGTGCCATAGAAGTGTGTGTGCATTTATTTCCCAGGAGAAAGATCAAATGACAGCGTGCTGAATTACTATTTTCCACTGTTCTCAATAACTGATTATCTTGCCTGGGACCTAATATACCCAAGAAGAAAAAGTATCTTTTCTCTCCAAAGCTCACAAAGGCAACTATTAGCTCATAACATGTGTTTAATGTGATGAGAGCAAGTATCATATGATTAATGCTATGAATATAGTTGGTGACTGTATTTATGGATGGATACCGTAACCATGGAATGCAAACTGAAGTTGCTGGATAGGCCTATGAATGAAGAGCTTCTGTTGTGGAGATTTTGAGTTTGGGTGTCCATTGCCTTGTTCCATCAGAAAATTATATTTTGGAGAGAATTTTCTTGGCTTTCTAATAAGTATCAAAAAGAAAAAAGTCTGCTTTCTCTAGGCTGATACAATTACCAGTGCCTCCTCGTAGTTATCCAGAAGGAAGATGATCACTGTTTCGTTCTTTGGGTTTTGTATTGTAGAGCATTTGTTAGCAGTATAAAGAGAATTTTCATCATATTGTCACCAACAAAAGACATTTCTTTAAACTGATAAACCCCAGTACCATTTTAGTTTCAAGAATTATTTTTTGAGGGGTGAAGAGATGGCTCAGTGGTTAAGAGCATTGCCTGCTCTTCCAAAGGTCCTGAGTTCAATTCCCAGCAACCACATGGTGGCTCACAACCATCTGTAATGAGATCTGGCGCCCTCTTCTGGCGTGTGGGCATACATGCAGGCAGAATGTTGTGTATATATAATAAACCTTTAAAAAAAAGAATTATTTTTTGAATAATCTAGATTGCCGTTACATGAATCACACGTATGAAACTATTAAAACATTATGTTTAAAATATACACTCTCAAGCTGAAGAGATAGCTCAGTAGTTACAAGCATTGGCTGCTGTTACAGAGGACCCCAGTTCAATTCCCAGCACCCACATGGCAATCCAACCCTCTGTAACTCCAGTTCCAAGAGATCCAATGCCCTCTTCTAACCTCCATGGGCACCAGGCACACAAGTGGTGTGCAGGCAAAACACCTACACACAAAAGGAAAATTTAAATATACATACACATCATTCACGACCCAGGTGTGTCAGTCAGGATCTGGGTTCCTCCGCCTTACCTCCAAGGGTAAGTGTGCCATGCTGCAGTTAAATTCTCTCACCTCAGATTTGCCATCTCTTCCATGCAGCCTGGAATATCTTGCAGCTTATTGTTACTGAGAACAAGAGTCCCCAAGTTTTTCATATTTCTGATCGATTCTGGCAGGCAAGCTATTTCATTCCTCTGCAGCCACAATGTGTGTAAACTTTGCATTCTGGAGAATTAGAATTTTGTATATTAGATCCTTGAATATAAAAATCTGGCCTCATCAGATTATAATGTTTAACATTCAATTGTTTAATTAATTTACTTCATTAAATTAATTATTTCGCATTTAGCAAAATGCATTTATTTGTTTAACAGATTTCATTCTTTCCTGTTACCTAATTGTCAGGGAACTCACTAAAGACCAGCTGTCATGCCACGGCAGAAATGAGAACATTTACACTGCATGTTTTTCATAGTTCTCTAAATAAACAGCTGTAAATGTCACTTAAGATGAATCTTAAAAATCAGGAACTGATAATATGCCTATTTTGGGCAAGGTGGTATAGACTCAGGTCAAGATTCCTACGTTCAAAGCCAATTAATGTCACTCACTGAGACCTGGGCATAGGTGACAAACATCTCTGTATCGGCTCCCTTGTCCTTTAGTAGTGTACACAGAAGTGCCTGGCATGCACCAAGCAGTGTGGTTACTGTGGCATGTTCTTGGTAATGTCTTGAAAGCAGTTAGTTCTCCCCTTCCCAAATCCTTTGCATATTTGGGAGAAATGAAACTAACCCACTGGAAGACTAAGTTTTGACCCAGTTGGGTCTTTTGTAATTATCATGGGCTCCTAGTTGTTCGGTTTATTGTTTCTTATTTTTCATAGGTGGCTTTGAATTTTTGGTAGCATAAAGTAACCCATAAAGCATAAAGTTACCTTTCTAGACTGTCAGGGAGTTGTTGAAGGCTGTTGCTTCCCATATCCAGCCACTCGAGGGCAGGCATGTTCAACACAGCCAGAGGGATTGTAGTGAAGTGGTTCATACTCAGATCAAGGTGGGTGAGTTTTAGCAGTCTGCTGAGCTGAAGAAGAGAGTGGGTAACACTTGAGCTTTGTTTAGACACAGGAATCCACAATGATCAAAGCAGAAGGATAACAGAAGCTGGGCATGGTGGCACATGCTTATAATCCCAGCACCAGCACCGGAGCCAAAGGCAGAGGACATCTCTGAGTTCAAGGCCATCATGGTCTACACAATGCATAGACCTGTCTCAAAAACAAACAGAAGCCTGGGCTCCCAATAAAATAGAAATTTTTTATTCAAAGACAGTTTATCTTCCAAGATGACCATGTTCCAGGGTTCATAGGACCTGTGTGTCAAAAGCATCGCCACCTCCAGAAGCATTTCTTTTTTTTCTTTCTTTCTTTTTTTTTTTGTTAAAATTGTCACATCTCCCTTTTATTGAGCTGATTTAGTATCCATGGGAGACCAGTTCTAAGACTCTGGACAATTCTCAGATCCTTGAGTAAATAAAAATCTCATAATAGCTGCGTGTTAATTACACACTGAGACAATGGGGATGTTCTATCGGGAACTCACCAAGGCCAGCTGGCCTAGGTCTGAAAAAGCATGGGATAAATCCGGACTAGCTGAACATAGTGGACAATGAGGACTACTGAGAACTCAAGAACAATCGCAGTGGGTTTTTGATCCTACTGCACGTACTGGCTTTGGGGGAGCCTAGGCAGTTTGGATGCTCACCTTACGAGACCAGAAGCATTTCTTGTGTTTACTTTCAGCCAGCTGCTGAGAGTTATATGGGAAAACTTATTCTTTAAGATAACGGTTACCTTACTGGCTCACTCACACTTGCGATCTCAAACGTCTAACTCACTCGGCCACAATTCTGAGCTAAAGTGCAGTGAGTGCCTGCAAATTTTATGCCATACAGCGCTGGGCTTAGCTTCAGAAAAAAGATTGTGTTATTGTGGTGATGTCTTCCGTCACCTGACTTCTCAGAGCTAGTGCTGTCATGACTATGCATGTTTCTTTATATTGTGTTACTATATGGAAGTATTTGCATTTCTAACTCATTATATTTTTTCAGGAAATGTATTGTTTTATGTTTATGTATATTTGAGGATTATATTGGACTGGCTTTTGTTTTTTTTTTTTTTTTACTTTCTTTCAAACTCTTACTGAGATTTTGGTTTTGTGTGTATCTTTCAGTTTGTTGGGAGAGTATCAGTGTAAGTCCTAGCTGGTCAGGAACGTGTGGCCTCAAACTCACAAAAATCCACCTGCCTCTGCCTTCAGAGCACTGGGTGTAAAGGTGTACACCGCCATGCCTGGATTCTCTCGTCAGTTTTAAAATGTATTCATGGGAATGCTTAGAGTGCCATTTTTTTTTACCTAAAATATCTGTTAAGTTATTTCCATTCCACACTTTTATTTAATTGGCTCACAGTTGTACTTAAATACGTGAATGATTATGATAGCAACCACACAAAGGCAGTGCCATTGTTTCTGTTTTATGAAAATCGCTCAGAGATCATGTAACTCAATGGACTCAAGTTCTTATAGACCTAAAGTCTGAAAGTTCCTTCCTCTTTATCCTTACTGGGAGTTTGAAGATAGATAGAAGAATTAGCATCTACAGAGCAAACAAAAACAGCCTATCCACTTGGCTGCCAGGGTTCTGTATTTTGAATTCCTTCTGTACCATCTGCACCATGAAGTGCACAAATACAGAGTTTTGTAGCTAGTGCCAAAAAGCAGGATGAGGGCTCTGAGGAGACGGCTTAGTGGGAAAGCTGCTTGCTGTGTAAGCGTTCCGACCTGAGTTTGGATTCTCAGCACTTAAGTGGAAAGCTGTATATGCAGCAATCTGAAACCCCAGTGCTGGGAAGTAGAAATGGAAGGGTCCAAGGGGCTTGTGGTTGGGGAAGACACCTGAGAACATCTGGCCGATGCATACATACATACACATACACACATAACAGGTACATACATATACTAATGAGGTAGGTACAATTTAATGTCTGGCAGAGAAATCTTCAGTTGCTGACCCCTCAGTAGTACTAGGGTACTACTAGTAGTACCTTTTTATTGTTGTGGTGTTTTTTTCCTGAGGCAGGTTTGCATTCTGTAGCCTTAGCTAGCCTGCAACTTGCTAGCTGAGAACTCAAAGAGCTCTAACTGCCACAGATACTTACTATTACTTACAAATGTTTGACTGGAAGCTCAGGCTTACTACTACCTAACTCTTACACTTAAATTAACCCATATTTCTTATCTATGCTTTTGCTACGTAGCTCATGTATTGTTAGCTTATTTTCTGCACATCCTGCTTTTTCCGTGACTGGCTGGCACTTCCCCTGATTCTGCCCTTCTTTATCCCAGTATCCTCAGTTTGATTGTACTGCCTAATTTTATCCTGCCTTGTGATAGTCCAATCAGCTTCTTTATTAACCCAATCATAGCGACATATATTCACACAGTGTACAGAAGGATTATTCCACAGCATTTTCCTCCTTTTGTCTAATTAAAAAGGAAGGTTTTAATCGTGAAGTGATAAAATTATATACAACAAAAATCATTGTTAAAAGAATTACAGTTACAATATTTAGTCCATTTGGATTTGACAAAATTAGAGGAAAAAATTCTGTTGTCTATCATGTCTTGGTGAGTCTAAAGTTTCATACCTATGCTTTGGTGATACAGCTGTCTGTGAGTCCTTTCCGCTCCTGTAAGTAACCCCAATAAAACTAATGCTTCACCAAGTTGAACTTTGGTGTTATCTGTGTTTTAGTCTGTTGTGGCCTTCCTACCTAGGGTGAGTAGACATGTGTGTTGTCTATCTCCAGGAAAAGTCTTGTCACATGATAGTACCTGTCTCCTGGAGAATCTAAGGTGAAGAGAATGGCTAATGATACATCCCAGTTCACATAGCTTGTTAGTGACAGAGCCTATCAGAAACAAAGTCACAGGTTTTAGAAAACTTATACACTGGCCTTTCTACATGGATAAATTGTTTCTATCAATTTACTTTCCTTGTTTTTTCATTAAAATAGTCTAACATGACGAAACACATGAGCTATGTTTGCAAAAGCAAACTAGGAGGAGCTGATTACTATTAGTAAGATGCCCAGTGGTTTTGGGAAATAAAAGTCTGATGTACTCAAATATAAAGTAAGAAAATGGAGTTGTACCTTTCTTTTGTTTTGAATTTTATTATTTTTCTTAACTCTTGTCTTGCAGTCATTGTTTTCAAGGCAGAAAAAGCATAGACATTTCTTGCTGATTCTAAGAGCATTAATTTGAAAGGTAACAGAGATGTCTTTGTCAGCTCAGTTTAACCAATCACAAGACACCAAGTCAAAGGCCTTTCCAACCTGCTAGCTTACTTTTTACTTGGTAAAGCCTAGAATGCCGGCGTGAAGCACACTCCCTCCAGTTCGTGGCATACTCTTCCTGCCTGTTTCGGGAGTGAGCATACCATGAAAGCCAACTAGGACACGAGATTTTCTGTTCTCGCTTTCTGTTCTTCATAGCAATCACGTGCATATTCATTCAGAAAAGCATGAATCGGATTCAAATTCACAGACATCAGACATCATCAATACCTCTAATCCCAGCATTCAAAAAGCTGAGTGAGAATTGGAAGTTCAAGGTCATAGTGAGCTCCACTGTGAGACTCTGCCTCACAACAGACAGAGGCAGTGTCTAAGTGTGTTTTAAGATAAATAGTTAAACCAGCAATATTGTTTAAAAAAAATATATACAGACAGGTAGAGAGACAGATAGACAGACAAAAAAGCCTCAAGGTCCAAGGCTATAGCTCAGTAGCAGTTTGTCTGCTCGGCATGCTTGAGACCCTGAGTTCAACCCCTAGCCGACGAAATAATCAAGCATGTGTGAGGAACCACTACAGGAACCTAGGCTTCTCCTTGTTATGGGAGCTTAAAGTTCTGCCTTCTCTCCAAAGAGATAATAATGCAGAACAGTAACAACAATAGAGGAACCTTTTATGCCAAGTAGAGTTTGTTCTAAAAAAAAAAAAAAAAAACTTGCCTTCTGCTAGAAAATGCTTTTCACTAAGAATGTCTTTCCTAAAACCAAATTCATAACAGTGCTTCACGAGTTTTGTTTTATTTTGTGTTTTGCCAACAGCCACATGCCCGAAAAGCAGACTATTAGTAGAGGCAAACAAAACAGACATTGGGACCTTCTGACCTCTGGAGGGAGGTCACTTAGATCTCTGTTCACAGCCAGTTCTAGCTTCTCCAAGCTGGCACAGTTGCTCAGCTCTTTGGGGACAGTCTTGATTTTGTTGTAGCTAAGAATCAGTTCCTGCAGCCTGGTGAGCAGCCCTGCACAAAACAACAGCAACAACACTGAGTAACAGCAATACACAATAGGAAGGAGGCGGACTTAGTGCTTCCTGACACTAAGTGCTGCTTACAGACTTCGCTTATTGGCAAAGTCAGTTATTCGCGTCTTCAAACCAGGGGCAAATTTCTCATGCCATAGGAGAGGTCCTGGGATTTCCATTCTGCTTTATATATACTGGATCAAGGTGACTGTGGACGGTACAGAACCTGCCTCGCATGTACCAGACCCTGGGTGAAGCCCACTCTGTGACTCTGGCAGGCTCCGCCCTTCGTCCCAATTCCCTCTGCCTCTCTAAAAACCGTTAGATTACATTCCTAAAGCTAGCCACAAAGGTCTATTCCCTTATTGAGCCACTCACTTCCTCCTCCTAAGGCCTTCTACCAAGGGCCAGCAATCAAAACTCACCTTTGACTCACCTAATTAACATTCCCAGTTAAAATTAAGTACTTCGCCCTAACACAGGGTTTCTCATTTTGCCTTTATAAACCACCATTTGCCTATGGACCACATCTGTCTCTCTATCCAGAGACAGTTCTTTGTCCCATACCCATGCCCCCTTTCCCTCATCCCCTACCCTTTCTGTTTGTTCTCTATCTCCTTTTCCTCCACAGCCTAGCCCATTCCAAACACAGGCCTCCCCTTTTTCTCTTAAGAATTATACTGGCAAGGTCATGTCCTGCTGTTTTCTGCCTGAGTCAGGAAGCAGCCAGTCTAACTTTTCTTCCCCCACTTCATAAAGGATCTCTGTGAAAATAGGTGTTTGGGTGTAGTTTGTACCCAATCTGGGTCCAGGAGGGAGCCCCCGCTGTAGGGGAGGCCCCATCATTGGGCTTGGTCTCCAACACAAAACCCCAACACAGAACACAACATCCTGAGCAATTTTTCATTTGGGAACATTTTCTCACTGTCTAATCAATCTTTCCCCCTTTATTTCCTTTAGTGTGTTCTAAGATAAATAGTTAAACCAGCAATATTGCTTTAAGAATATACAGCATATTTCCAAAAGCTTTTCTCCCCTGAAATTTTGTCTATCACCCCAGTATAAGTTTGAATCCCCTGAAGCATTACGTTAGAGGAACTGTTTACAGTTTTCTCAAATTTCAGAAAGAAGATCTTTATTCCACGCATTTGAAGCGGCAGGGTAAGGGGGTCTGAAAGAAAGAAAAAGCACCTTTGGCAGGTAAACAAAATAACACAGAAATAAAAGCAATCCTTACCAATCCCTCGGGGGATCTCTGAAATTGTGTTTCGAGATAAATCTAGCACAATGAGATTCTGGAATCTTCCGATGAATTCAGGAATTTTCAACAAACCCGTCCTATGAAGTTGCCATTCTTGTAGGTGATTCAGTTTCAGCAAAGAAGAAGGGAGAGTCTAAAGTGGAAAACGTGTGGACAATCATCACATTGTCTGGATTAGTCTAGCGCAGTGCTGCGCCGCTACGATAAAAGATTGCCTGGTTTATTCTAGCTTTGTGCGCACTGCTGTGATATTACGGGATGTAAAGATGCGCTTGACGATAGTTTTCCCTTAATTGGTGACATTTCCAGATGCTTTGGGCTACATCACTCAAACCTTGACTTTTATTATTTTTTAATTGTTAAAAAATTTATTTTCAGTTTTTTACAAGTTATTATTTATTTCATCGTTTATTGCTAAACCTTCAAATCTCAACCATAGTAGAATAAACAAAAATATCATATTTTGACTAGTAATGCACACAGATCAAGTCTGTTCTAATGAATGATTCTGTAGTATTTATTAGACTATCCAAGAGCACGTGTATAATTGAAAATGAGAATATTCTGAAAAACCATTTTAGTAATTTGAATTTCTCTTCCACTTCTATTATTAAGTTTTTAGGAGTTTGTTTGTTTTGAGACAGGATCTCTCTACAGACCCCTGGGTGTCCTAGAACTCACAATGTAGACTAAGCTGGTATTAAACTCATAGAGATCCACCTGCCTCTACTTCTGCCTCCCAAATGCAGGGGTTGAAAGTGTGCGCCACCGTGTCCAGCCTATTTTATAAGGTTTTTCAAACCATTTTTTTCTTTAAACTCTGAACTCTATGCCTTTTCCTTTCAAGCCTAAAATAAGCTAAAAGTAAAATAAGAAAGTTAACTAGGAAACTGACCCCATAGCTAATGATAACTCCAGGTATGAAAAACAAACACTCAGGGGCTGGAGAGATGGCTCAGTGGTTAAGAGCACCGCCTACTTGTCCAAAGGTCCTGAGTTCAATTCCCAGCAACCACAAGGTGACTTACAACCATCTGTAATGAGATCTGGTGCCCACTTCTGGCCTGCGGGCATGCATGTAGTCTGCCTACGGTGTACACAATAAATAAATTTTAAAAGAAAGAAAGGTTTTGAAGCCCTTGTAAGAGTTAGTCTATCTGATGTAACTAAACACACATATGCATGTGTGCTCATACACATGTGAGGGAGAGAAATGCCCCCTTCCATTCTGGAATCTAAATTGATAGTTTAGCTATGTGATTTGAGTTAGCCTGGCCATCACCGCTGTAGAGCACGCTGGGATATCTGCTGACTGGGAGGATTTAGAGACTAAGTCTCACAAGGGATTTGAGTCCAGGTGGGATGGAGCAAAGAGACTCTCTGATAAAAAAACAGTTCATGCACTTACATTTCTTTTCCATTGTTCACGCTGCCCAAATTCACCTGTTCTATTAATAGACTCTCGAACTCTCCTGGTCTTCAATACAGTCTCAGATCCTCTCAGGCCTTCACACAATTCAGAAGCTGGCCAACCAAGAGCTGCTTCTAGAGAGAGTGCTTACCTTCCACTCTTCTTTCTCTATCTTCAAGATGACTCTTCCGTCTTCCCTGGTGACCTTTTCTTTCAGCTTGGTTAAGCTTACCCGGTCTTCCCAGATGCGCACCAGCCTAAGACACCGGGACATAGTTTAATTCATAGGCAGCGACAAGAGCAGCAACACAAAGTCCACCCAAAACAACGGACACAGCAGTGAAAGGAACAGAGGCCATGCAAATTAAAACATAGCCACTGGTCCCATGCTAGCCCATGCAGCAACCTTTCACCTGATTTCCAATACCATTGACTCCGTGGTCACCATGGCAGAAAGCAGTCAGGCAGGGCCATGGTTCCTCATTTTTCCCAAACAGTTCTGTTAACTGGAGACCACTCACTCAAACATATGCGCCTATGCGGGTCATTCTCGTTTAAACCACCACATCCTCTAACATCTCTTTTGGGTACCTGAGCTGCTCAAGATGGTTCTTTTTGAGTAAATGATAGCCTCCCATTTTCTTAAGGGGCTGGCCCTTTAACAAACTTGCTTTTCTTCATGTTCACCCTCTTCTCCTCATACTGAAGGCCTCTGAGCCGTGAGCAGTGTCTTAGATTTACTAACACTATTGGTTCAAGGTTGCTTTATTTGTTTTGGTGCTGGCGATAGCACAGCGCCTTGCACGTACTAAGCTCAGTCCTAAGGTCTTAAGAAGTATCACAATTCTTCTTATATTCTACTTCTAATAGCATCAGTGAGATATGATTCATATGTTATAAAATTCAACCATCTAAAGTATACAAGTCAACGATTTTATCTGTAAATTCACAACATTGTGCAACTGTCTCCACTATCTAATTCCAAAGTATTTTATCATTCAAAAATCCTCCTCAGTCCTCATTAGCAGACATTCCTCATCCTTCCATTCCTTCCTGGACATTGCTAATTTTTTTTTTTTTTTTTTTTTTTTAAAGATTTATTTATTTATTATGTATACAGCATTCTGTCTGCATGCCAGAAGAGGGCACCAGATCTCATTACAGATGGTTGTGAGTCACCATGTGGTTGCTGGGAATTGAACTCAGGACCTTTGGAAGAGCAGCCAGTGCTCTTAACCTCTGAGCCATCTCTCCAGCCCCTTGCTAATTTTTTTTTAAAGGTTTATTTGTTATATATAGACACAGCGTTCTACCTGCATGTATGCATACACGCCAGAAGAGGGCACCAGATCTCATCATAGATGGTTGTGAGCCACCATGAGGTTGCTGGGAATTGAACTCAGGACCTCAGGAAGAGCTGCCAATGCTCTTAGTCACTGAGCCATCTCTCCAGCCCCCGCTACTTTTTTTTTTGTACCTATAAATTTGCCTGTGCTGTGTTTTATGTAAAAAGGGCAATATATAAGTGTGCCTTCCTGCTTAACACAATTCCAGCTCATCGGTGTTGTTACTACTAACCAGCAATGTGCTTCCTTTGATGGGAGGATGGCACTACTGTGTGGGTCTTTCATATGTGTTTGTCCATCCATCCCCGAGTGTATGCTTTGCCTCTTCTGTATCATGTTGCTAAGAACATTTGTATGCATGCCTCTTTGTGAACTGGTCAATAATGATAAAAGGCCATTGTTTTTGGACCAAGCTCTTGACACTGAACCTCAACAAATTAGACTGAAAATTGAAATAAAGCTTTGTGGTAAGAATGGGCCCCTTAAGCGCATATATCTGAAGGCTTAGTCATCAGGGAGCGGCACTACCTGAGAAGAATAAGTGTGTCCTTCTTGGAGGAAGTGGTCACTGGGCATGGGCTTTGGAAGCCATGCCCAGTGTGTCATTCTCTTCTGCTGCATGCAGATTCAGGTGTAGAACTCTCCGCTCCTTCTCCAGCACCATGTATGCTGCACACTGTCATGTTCCCCACTAAGATGATAACGGACTAAACCTCTGAAACTGTAAGCAAGCCCTAATTAAGTGCTTTCTCTTAGAAGAGTTGCCTTGGTCATGATGTCTCTTCACAGCAATAGAACAGCGACTAAGACAAGCCCCATGTCACAGAAAGAAAAGAGTTCTTTGGTCTTCTGAAAAATCACGGCAGGAGCCGGGCGGTGGTGGCGCACGCCTTTAATCCCAGCACTTGGGAGGCAGAGGCAGGCGGATCTCTGTGAGTTCGAGGCCAGCCTGGTCTACAAGAGCTAGTTCCAGGACAGGAACCAAAAGCTATGGAGAAACCCTGTCTAGAAAAAATTCCAAAAAAAAAAAAAAAATCACAGCAGGTGACAGCCACTTTCCCCACCAAAGTAGTTCCCGTTGGTTTAGGAATGAATTTCCCTCAGCCATAATCCTAACACATAATCCTCAAGGTAGCATGAGGTAGTCTGATATGACCCAGCTGTTAATTTTTATAGTTTTGTCTTCATGTCTTGGTTTTATAGGAAAAAATAGCTTTGGAATGGCCAAGCTGCCTTATGTTCTGTGATTTTTCTTTTTTCCCCAGCCCCTTCCTGTATCTAATAGCAATCTGTTCTTATTTGGTTTCATAGAGTGAGTGCTGCCTAACTCTTGTTGAGCATTCTGCCTATTGGAAATCTTTTGAAACTGGAGCTATGGGGACAGCGGAGTTAGTAAAAAGGGCCGGAGTCCAGATCCCCAGCACCATGACATATCCGGAACTCCAGAGGAGGAGAGATGGGAGATAGGAGGATGCCCGGGCTCATGGGGCAGCCAGCCTAGCTGAGTTACAAGTTCAGTGCGAGATCGTGTGATAAAAATTATCATAATAATAAAGTGGGCAGTGACTGAGGAAAGCACCTGTGTTTACACGCTCACGCTCACATGCACACACGATGCGCATAGGCATACAAGCATCTAAGGTGGAGAGTGACGGAGGAGGGCGGAGGACATCCCCACTTTCCTGATCTCCACTTGCATACACACGTGTACGCTTGCACATGCCAACATGAACACCTACACACACATGCACATGCCCTCCCCTGCATATACATATCTTTAAAATTAATTGCAATTTGACCTTCCACAGATTGTATATTTTTATTTCCAGGACTATATTCCTAGGAGAATTTCTGAGCCATGTTATAACTTCCTGATGAACCAACGGAACAGCATAGCCCCAACTTCACAGTCTGACTACCTGCTCTCCACAGGTAGAGACTCCTGTCTCACTGTGTCTGCTGACCTCCAACTCATGGTCCTCCTGCTTCTGCTTCCCAAGGGTCCGAATTACAGGCATGCACCACCACACCTGGCAAAATCAAGTTTTATCATGATATGACATGATTTTGCAATGGAATTGTTTTAAGGTTAATAGAAAGTGGTTTTTGAGGTTGTCATGGTATTTATTTCCTGGAGAGATAATCCGAACACTTGGGAGATAGAAGCAGATGGATCTCTGTGAGTCCAAGGCCAGTACCTCTCTCTCTTATACACACCCAGCTCCTTCTCCCTCTCCCTCCCTCCCCCCCCCCTCTCTCTCTCTCTCTCACACACACACACACACACACACACACACACACACACACACACGCCCAAAGGGAGCTAACTGGAGGGCTAAACCACACACAGGAGTTGGCAGAGGGAGGTGAACAGAAGCTGAGCCCTACAGGGTGGAGTTGGTGCTTTGGCTACTTTTGCAATCACCACCCCCACAGTTGAACCACTAGAGTTGGACTTTCTGCTATTTTTTAAAAACCTGACATTAGCTATTAGCTATTTGCTTTATGAATGAGAACTGGAGGGAGCCATGTGGTATTCACAAAGAAAGGAGGTATTCTTACAAGGTTAGACTGAAAACCAATCTAACACCCATCAGGAAAGTAGGTCAAATGTCAAGATTTCAGAAGAAATGAGAGCCCAATATTAAAATACAGCCCTCCCTCTATTAAGAAATCATGTGATCCAGAGGGGCCCTGGCTGTAGCTCCCAGCCATTCAGATAGGCTGGGGACTATGTCCACCTTCTGCTCTCAGGGGCAGCTTGAGGTGTTTAGTGGACACAATCCTGAAAATTAGACTGTCCCAGAAGCCAGACTTCAATGGGTGGTGCAGGAGAATTGTCTGTATTCTGTCAATCATGTTATAAATAAATGCTGATTGGCCAGGTAGGAAATATAGGCAGGAAAATCAGACAGGAAGTAGAAATGATGTAATGAGAACAGGAGAATTCTGGGAAGGAGGAAGTTGATTCCTCCCACTCCTGCCCAGACCACTGGAGCAGCAGGATGTGATCTGTCCTACTGAAAAAAGGTACTGAGCCACATGGCTAATATACATCAGAAAAATGGGTTAATCAAGATGTGAGAGTTAGCCATTGAGAGGCTAGAGCTAATGGGCCAATCAGCTTTATAACTTATAGAGATTGATGTGTGATTTTTCTCTGGGACTAAACAGCTGGGGGGTACCTGGTGGGAGGACAAAAACCCCAACAACAAGCAGGCTTGGCCCCTGTTCATGTTACAAATGGGTGTTAAGTGGGTTTGTTTTCACATGCAAACATCCTCTTGTTCCTCTTAACACTTAATCCCATCTGAATCAGTTATTTCCTTAATTAAGAAAACTTCCAGATGGCTGGAACAATGGCTCAGTGGTTAACAGGACTGGCTGCTTTTCCAGAGAACTAGGGTCCGATTCTTCAGCACTCACGTGACAGTTCGGAACCACCTGTAACTCCAGTCCCAGGGGGTGTGGCACCCCCTCTCTGGCCTCTGAAGGCACTGCATGGAAGAGGTACACAAACGTACAGGCAGGCAAAACACTCATGCACATAAAATAATAATAAAGAAAAATGAAAGACTATTTTGGGCGTGGGAGAGATGGTTCAGTTGTTAAGAGCACTTGATGCTCTTCCAGAGGCTCCAGATTCAGTTCCCAGCACCCACATGGCAACTAGCAACTGTCAATAACTTCAGTTCCCGGGGACTCAGTGCCCTCTTCTGGTCTCCATGGGTACTGCACACATATGGTAGACCAACCTGCAGTCAAATGCTCATATATGCAAAATAAAAATAAAGCGTCATAAAGAAGATTATTTTGTGTTTTCTATCAAATTCAGTGGAGCTCTTGCTAAATGATCTTTCTATAATGACGAGATTATAAATTTCCACTAATCTGAGATAAAATGCCTTAGCATACTTGTGCTGAAAGTCCTTTTCTCGTTTCACATCTTCATTGTGTTTCTTTATCCTTTCTTCCCAGACTTCCTTTGCAGCATTGACGGCCCCGGTACAAACCAGATTTTCTGTCATGGTTTTTCCACATCGTAGTCAAGTCGTCTAGTTCATTAAGCGTTGAAAAGCTGGGTCACAGGCCGCTCAGAAAAGACCTACCTGTGTGAGAGAGGAGGAAGCATCCTGCTTCAGAATGCTAGATACCGTAGCAATCACAGTGGTGATGTTCATTGAGCAATTGTATTTCCCCAAACTATATTTATTTTTCACCCACCCATCCCTTCCTTCCTTCCTCCCTCCATTCACTGTTTATTCAGAAATAGGGTCCACCGTGTTGCCCGGTTTGGCCTCAAGCTTCTGGGCTGAGGCGGCCCTCCTGCTTTAGTATCCTGCATAGCTGGAACTACAGGCACACACCAGTACACCCAGATAGTCTACATGTGTTTGGACGCCATATCTTACTTTCAACCCATGTAAAATATGATGTGAGCATTTTTGTTGCCTTTAATGTTCACATGAGGAGACCAAATCTTAACAGAGCATATGTAGCTGGGCCGTGGTGGCACACGCCTTTAATCCCGGCACTCGGGGAAGCAGAGACAGGAGGATCTCTGTGAGTTCGAGGTCAGCCTGGTCTACACAGCAAGTGCCAGGACAGGCTCCAAAAGCTACAGAGAAACCCTGGGGGGGAGGGGCGGGGAGAGCGCACGTGGTAGGGGCAGGAACTGTTGCCCAATCTATCTCCTTTGCTACCTTGTCATTCATAAAAATGAAAACTTGGAATTAGATTTGCATCCGACTTGAGAAAGCGATTAAACAACAGATTCATAAGTCTAGGGCCCTGAAGAGGGCTCAGCAGGTAAAGATGCTTACCCCCAAGTCTGACAACCTTCAGAGGATCCAAGCTCCAGCTGTGTTTACCATATAGAGCTTTCACACGAGATTAATTAAACCTGGTTTGCTTTGTTTTCTAAAGATGACTAGAGAGACAGCGCAATGATTAAGAGCATTTGCTCCTCTTCCCAAGGACAGAAGTTTGGTTCTTAGCACCCACATCATGAAGCGCACACACACACGCACATGCACAAACACGCACATGCACAAACACACACATGCACTCACACACACACGCACACACACACACACTATATACACAATATATATATACACACTCACAGAAATGCAAACATGCATTTCAAAAATAAATAACTTTTTAAATAATTCAAGAGAAAGAGTATCAGAACTATTAGGAAGTAGAAAGTGGCTCACAGAGAAGACAGAAAGTTCAAAAAGGCCACAGGAAGTGCAACTGTGGCCAGAGTCACTACATGCATGCATCAGTGTGTTGTAGTGAAACTCGTTGCTTACACTTAACATGTACCAATTAGAAGAAAGAAAAAAAAGCAGTTAAATAGTAATAATAAGATGGAAAAAAACCCCAGGAAATCTGAATGACCAAAAAAAATCATAAATTGTAGCAAACCTTAGGATTCTGTAGATTAAACCATAATAAACCATGTACACACATCCTGTCAAAATATTGATCATAGCCGGGCGGTGGTGGCGCACGCCTGTAATCCCAGCACTCGGGAGGCAGAGGCAGGCGGATCTCTGTGAGTTCGAGACCAGCCTCGTCTATAAGAGCTAGTTCCAGGACAGGCTCCAAAAACCACAAAGAAACCCTGTCTCGAAAAACCAAAAAAAAAAAAAAATATTGATCATAAGAGACTGACTCTACCAAGTATTGGTAAAAGTCTGAGTGAGGAACTTTCCCCTGGTGCTGTGCATCGGTGGTACTGTGGGTTGGTTGTAACTACTCTGGAGAGCACAGATGGTATGTAACATGTATACATTCCCATGCAATAACAGTAGAATAGGCCGTCCCTGTGAAATGTGAACAAGTGTCCCCCAAGAATGAATGACTTTTCAAAGTAGCAGAATGACAACGATATCGATGGTGGTGGTGATGATGGTGATGATGATGGTGGTGGTGGTGATGATGATGGTGGTGGTGGTGATGATGATGGTGGTGATGATGGTGATGATGATGGTGGTGGTGGTGATGATGATGGTGGTGATGATGGTGGTGGTGATGATGGTGGTGGTGATGATGGTGATGATGATGGTGGTGGTGGTGATGATGATGGTGGTGATGATGGTGGTGGTGGTGATGATGGTGGTGATGATGGTGATGATGATGATGGTGGTGGTGATGATGGTGATGATGATGGTGGTGGTGGTGATGATGGTGGTGGTGGTGATGATGGTGGTGGTGGTGATGATGATGGTGGTGGTGGTGATGATGGTGGTGGTGGTGATGATGGTGGTGGTGGTGGTGGTGATGATGATGATGGTGGTGGTGGTGATGATGATGGTGGTGATGATGGTGGTGATGATGGTGGTGATGATGGTGGTGATGATGGTGGTGGTGATGATGGTGGTGGTGATGATGATGGTGGTGGTGGTGATGGTGATGATGATGGTGATGATGGTGATGGTGATAATGATGGTGGTGGTGATGATGGTGATGATGATGGTGGTGGTGGTGATGATGATGGTGGTGATGATGGTGGTGATGATGGTGGTGATGATGGTGGTGATGATGGTGGTGGTGGTGGTGATGATGGTGGTGATGATGGTGGTGGTGGTGATGATGGTGGTGGTGGTGATGATGGTGGTGGTGGTGATGGTGGTGGTGATGATGGTGGTGGTGGTAATGATGGTGGTGGTGGTGATGATGGTGATGATGATGGTGGTGGTGGTGATGATGGTGGTGGTGGTGATGATGGTGGTGGTGGTAATGATGGTGGTGGTGGTGATGGTGGTGATGATGATGGTGGTGATGGTGATGATGGTGGTGGTGGTGATGATGGTGGTGGTGGTGATGGTGGTGGTGGTGATGATGGTGGTGGTGGTGATGATGGTGGTGGTGGTGATGATGATGGTGGTGGTGGTGATGATGGTGGTGGTGGTGATGATGGTGGTGGTGGTGGTGGTGATGATGATGATGGTGGTGGTGGTGATGATGATGGTGGTGATGATGGTGGTGATGATGGTGGTGATGATGGTGGTGATGATGGTGGTGGTGATGATGGTGGTGGTGATGATGATGGTGGTGGTGGTGATGGTGATGATGATGGTGATGATGGTGATGGTGATAATGATGGTGGTGGTGATGATGGTGATGATGATGGTGGTGGTGGTGATGATGATGGTGGTGATGATGGTGGTGATGATGGTGGTGATGATGGTGGTGATGATGGTGGTGGTGGTGGTGATGATGGTGGTGATGATGGTGGTGGTGGTGATGATGGTGGTGGTGGTGATGATGGTGGTGGTGGTGATGGTGGTGGTGGTGATGATGGTGGTGGTGGTAATGATGGTGGTGGTGGTGATGATGGTGATGATGATGGTGGTGGTGGTGATGATGGTGGTGGTGGTGATGATGGTGGTGGTGGTAATGATGGTGGTGGTGGTGATGGTGGTGATGATGATGGTGGTGATGGTGATGATGGTGGTGGTGGTGATGATGGTGGTGGTGGTGATGGTGGTGGTGGTGATGATGGTGGTGGTGGTGATGATGGTGGTGGTGGTGATGATGATGGTGGTGGTGGTGATGATGGTGGTGGTGGTGATGATGGTGGTGGTGGTGGTGGTGATGATGATGATGGTGGTGGTGGTGATGATGATGGTGGTGATGATGGTGGTGATGATGGTGGTGATGATGGTGGTGATGATGGTGGTGGTGATGATGGTGGTGGTGATGATGATGGTGGTGGTGGTGATGGTGATGATGATGGTGATGATGGTGATGGTGATAATGATGGTGGTGGTGATGATGGTGATGATGATGGTGGTGGTGGTGATGATGATGGTGGTGATGATGGTGGTGATGATGGTGGTGATGATGGTGGTGATGATGGTGGTGGTGGTGGTGATGATGGTGGTGATGATGGTGGTGGTGGTGATGATGGTGGTGGTGGTGATGATGGTGGTGGTGGTGATGGTGGTGGTGGTGATGATGGTGGTGGTGGTAATGATGGTGGTGGTGGTGATGATGGTGATGATGATGGTGGTGGTGGTGATGATGGTGGTGGTGGTGATGATGGTGGTGGTGGTAATGATGGTGGTGGTGGTGATGGTGGTGATGATGATGGTGGTGATGGTGATGATGGTGGTGGTGGTGATGATGGTGGTGGTGGTGATGGTGGTGGTGGTGATGATGGTGGTGGTGGTGATGATGGTGGTGGTGGTGGTGGTGGTGATGATGATGGTGGTGGTGATGATGGTGGTGGTGGAGATGATTGTGATGATGATGGTGGTGGTGGTGATGATGATGGTGGTGATGATGGTGGTGGTGGTGATGATGGTGGTGATGATGGTGGTGATGATGGTGATGGTGGTGGTGGTGGTGATGGTGGTGGTGGTGATGATGGTGGTGATGGTGGTGGTGATGGTGGTGATGATGGTGGTGATGATGATGGTGGTGGTGATGGTGGTGGTGATGGTGGTGGTGGTGATGGTGGTGGTGGTGATGGTGGTGGTGGTGATGATGGTGGTGGTGGTGATGGTGATGATGATGGTGATGATGGTGATGGTGATAATGATGGTGGTGGTGATGATGGTGATGATGATGGTGGTGGTGGTGATGATGATGGTGGTGATGATGGTGGTGATGATGGTGGTGATGATGGTGGTGATGATGGTGGTGGTGGTGGTGATGATGGTGGTGATGATGGTGGTGGTGGTGATGATGGTGGTGGTGGTGATGATGGTGGTGGTGGTGATGGTGGTGGTGGTGATGATGGTGGTGGTGGTAATGATAGTGGTGGTGGTGATGATGGTGATGATGATGGTGGTGGTGGTGATGATGGTGGTGGTGGTGATGATGGTGGTGGTGGTAATGATGGTGGTGGTGGTGATGGTGGTGATGATGATGGTGGTGATGGTGATGATGGTGGTGGTGGTGATGATGGTGGTGGTGGTGATGGTGGTGGTGGTGATAGCAATAAAGAATTAATGCCTCCTGGAAATTTACTTTTGCATGAATGTCTTCATTTAGCAGGTCCAGGATGTTTGGCTAACCTTGTCTAAATTACAGATTTTAAATTAAAATTACTCAAGGAGCATGGGGCCACACAGAAAAAGAAACAGAAAAGGGCCATTAGAAGAAAAAAAATAGGGTTGCTATGCCATTAGAAATATGCAGAAAATCACTAGGATGGGGTACTATCTCTAAGGAAGGCATGAAGCCCACACACAAGAGCTGACTGGGAAATCTTTCTACAGTCAATAAACCTTGCTGTGAGCCATAATGGTACATGTCTGAGGCTGAGGCAGGAGGATGGCAAGTCTGAGAACAGGTTGGGATACATAAAAACATCCTGCCAAAATAAGAAGGAAGAAAGAAAGGAAGGGAAGATGGATAAAAGAAGGAAAGGAAAGAAGTCAGGATGGATAAAAGGAGAAAGGGAGAGACAGTGGGAGGGAAGGAGCCTTAGAGAACATGTACTAGTGACCTAATTCCCTGGGCATGTCACCTATAATTTATGTCTCAGATGTTAACAAAATTGAAGTGACTACGAAATACTTTCAACAACATAAAATAAAAATAAAGAATGTAAGCTATCCCCATATATGTATTGCTTTATTCTATATAAACTCACATTTGTTAACTTATTCCATTGTTTGACATTAAATATTGGTTGTCTCTAATATTAGTTTGCCTAAAACGAAAGATCTGCATCAGAGAGCAACAAGCTCATAACAATGCATTTCTGCATTTAGCTGCTTTGTGGAGGAAAAGCTCTTAGCAGCAAGGGAAGCATGCAGACACCACAACAGGAGTCTGCTCCCCAAAGTTTAAAAAAGTCCAAGAATACAATCTTAAATTCTTGCTTCCGGGAAAGCCTATCTCTTACGTCCTAGAGAATGAATGTGAGCGGCCAGCAATCCCCCAAAGGGCTTTAAGTTAAACTCAAGCTCCGTTCTCCATTGGTGCACTTACGCACACAGTGGAGTCGTCTTTGGCAGTTCACTTATGCAGAAGCAATGGAGGCACTGGTTATGGGAAAGCACTTACCCTTGGGGGAGGCTGCAGCCAACATACCCAGAGCTCCTGGTTTCCAGCGAGAAACACGAGGTGGATCCAAATGACTAAACTGCTCTGTCGGGCTGTAACCACAAGTGAAAAGTAATGTCAGCCGAGTTCTAATTATAGCTCACGGACAAGGCTGAGAATAGCAAGAATCACGTGGGGCTTCTGTGCAAAGGTTCAACTGATAACGTCTGCGAGTACGTTGTGTTAGAAACACTAGGAAACTTTCAGGGAGAACGAGTTCCTTTTTATTTATTTAATTTTAAAGTCTTACGTTTGCGTGGTTGGTGTGTATGCGTGGCCGTGCACCACATGAACGTAGCGCCCAGCAGGCCAGAAGAAAGGTATTGAATTCCCTGGAACGGGAGTTAGGGATGGTTGTGCGCCACCGTGTGGATGATAGGAATTGGCCCTGGATCTTCTGCAGGAAGAGCAAACTCTCTTGACCGCTGGGCCGTCTCTCCAGGCCCAGGGAGAGAGAACTGTTCCTAAGCCCTAGAAAAACATTCTTTCTAAAAGTCTTTCCACCTTTCATGATTTTAAAGATTGCATGTATTTCATAGAATGTAATGCATCTATTTGAAGCAAAGCGACTTTAAAATACGCTGATCTGCAACAGAACAAAGTCTTGAGCTAAAGGCACCGATGTGTCAGATAAATGAACAGGAAAGGTGTGTCGGGGAACCCCAATTTATGCTGAACCTGTGCTTCAGTTTGGGAGCGTGCCGAAGGTTGAGTCAAACCATGTTCAGGCCCTTGCCTCTTAGGTACACTCACAAGTCTGGGGCTTCAAAACTAATTAACTTTCGGTTCTTACCTCTCAGAGGTCATCGACAGGACTTAATTCCATGTTCTTAAGAGTTATACATTTAGTTTTTTAAATTTGTATGCATCTGGACATGGACAAATTTTAAAAGATAACAAATATCATTGTTGCACTAGATTTACACATACACAATTGTTCAGTGCTGGCTAGAGCGGAGGCCCTTGCACACGCTAGGCAAGCTCTCTACCAATGAGCTACGCCCACGATTCTGTAGAACTACTTATTATCATGTTTTGCTAACATATATTGTTTCGTTTTTTTTTTTTATTATAACATTGCCTCCCTAGAGACCAGCGTAGTCTAGATGAGATCCTGGAGATAGAGACAGATTGAGACATTTATTCCCGTATTGTTTCCCAAAAGATATACTAATAAACACTTCCCACCAGTGAATGTGAGCGTTTTCCACTTCCTTCCCAATACTTACCTTTCATCTGATCTTCCTGTGTCCATCCCCTGAGTGCTAGGATTGCAGGCATGTGCCACCATACTGGGTTATAGGTGATGCTTCATGCAGGCTAGGCAAGCGATTCCTCAGCTGAGCTACAACCCTAGCTCTTTCCCATATGTTGAATGAAGTGTCGTATGTATAGTGAATTCAAAAGGGAAGTTCATTCTGCTTTATATTAGTGGCTGCTTTCAGTTCCATGGAAATAAAAGCTCCACGGATTAAAGACCTTTCACAAGAAAGTTAGTGTGAACTACGTAACACCGTTTTCTGATACTGACCCGACTTTAGAGTAAATTTTATGATCAGTTTCAAACAACAACTACAGTTGTTTTTTTTTTTTTCACATTTTTAAAAACTCTATGGAGAACTTTCCTATCTATAAAAGTAGAAGTTACGGGAATTTTATTTTTATACTCAGCATCATAATCTTAAAGTTTCTCTTAGTGTGTTCTAGAAGTAACATTCTACTGAAGATGGAACACATTTCATTTGGCTATTTAGTTTTCTTTTTTTTTTAGATTTGCTTATTTTATCTCTTGTACATGGCTGTGACCTGCATGTATACTTGCAGTGCCCACAGAGGCCATAAGAGGGCGCCCGACTCCCTGGAATTGGGATTGCAGGGTGATGTGAGCCACTATGTGGGTGACTGAGAAAGGAACAAGTGCATTTAATTGCTGAGCCATCTCTCCAACCCCCTAGCTTTCAGTTTTTCAGCTAAGGGTCTTCCTGTGTTATCCTGGTTGGTCTGAAGCCCCTGGCCTCAAACGAGTGCGCTTCCACAGGCTTCTACACAGCCAGGGCTGTGGGCGCATGCCACCAGGCCCGGTTTTTACAGTCATTTGTAATATACAAAAGAACTGTATGAGAAAGGATGCAGTCAGAGATTTTAAAAATGATGCTTTTGGGAGCTGGAGCGATGGCTCAGGGGTTAAGAGAGCTTGCCGCCCTGTGGGTACCATTCATGTAATTACGTTCTTGCAATCCCTTTTGATAATTCTGGACCTAAGATAAGTCTAGACCTTTTATGAGCACATCCTGAAGCAAATTTCAAGTTATATAGCTTGCCGCCTGGTATGACAGTACTCCTCTGAGGGTGTGGATGACTGAGACCCCTCATGCTGTCTCTTGGAAGGAGGCCAACTCAACCTACCCGCTAGGAGTGAACCTCCACCTTGGCCCAGCTTCCCCCACATATAACCTCTTATTTTTCTTCCTTTTGTTTTCCTGAGAACTTTCTTTTCAGCTGTTAGAACCTGAATTCTTGATGTCCACTCACTCGCTCTCATTCCCTATCTCCTGTCTCTTGTTACCACCAAGGACAGCTGTTGCCCATGCTTTGAATTATGGCATTCCTCGGGGTACTCCGTAAAAGCCTGATATAGATGCCCTCTTCCTAGCAGAGCTGTGTGTGTTCATGTCATGCTTTAGTTGGTTTCCCCGTTTTTTTTCTTTTCTTTTCTTTCTTTCTTTTTTTTATTTCTATTTGGTTTTTCGAGACGGGGTTTCTTTGTGTAGCTTTGGAGCCTGTCCTGGAACTCATTCTGTAGACCAGGCTGGCCTTGAACTCACGGTTTTCCCTTTTTTTTTGTTTAATATTTTATTTGTATAAATATATATTAAAACTTATGTGCATTGATGTTTTGCCTGCATGTATGTCTGTGTGAGGCTGTCAGATCTTGGAGTTACACAGAATTGTAAGCTGCCATGTGGGTGCTAGGATTTGAACCTGGGTCCTCCAGAGGAGGAGCAGTCAGTGCTCTTAACTGCTGAGTCATCTCTCCAGCCTGCTCCCTCCAGTTTTTCTGGATTTTCTTTGTTCTCTCTCTCCTCTCTCTCTCTCTCTCTCTCTCTCTCTCTCTCTCTCTCTCTCTCTCGGATTTAGGGAAAAAACCAATAAAGGTGGGGGGAAAAATCTTCCTTCCAAGAGCTTGGATGGAGAATTTCTGAGGCCTTGGGACACAGTAGGTCCTAATATTAGGTCAGATGGTTTGTAAGGTAGGATTTATGAGGTAGACTAGAGTTAAGGAGCACGTGTAGGAAAGGAACAAAACCTTTCTGGCTTCAGTGCTTTAATGCCAACTCTAGGAGTGCACCAAGGGCTCTGTTCACCAAGACTCTGCCCAGGGTGTCTGTCCACCCCCGCCCTAGCCTGGCTCTGCCGCTAGGACCCCCCGATTTTGTACAAGGACGTGTGCTCTCCCCGAGGCCCAGCACACAAAGGAAATGAATTTTTCACCATTCTTAAAGGAAGACCAACGAGACAAGGTGTTAACAGCGGGGAGTTGGGGTGGGAGTGCTCCAAGTTGATCGGGTAATGTAGGAAACATCTTGAGCCTATCACACTGGATCTTCAGGTGAGTGTGTGGCACGCTTGTCTTCCCCACAGCACTGCTCGAATGGGAAGTGAGTTTAATGATGGGATGACCATCTTCGGACTCTCCCCAACATGAACAGCTTCTTTTACATGGCTCACAGCACCTACTTGCTTGTTGTTTTTCCATCATGGTGGTGTAACTGTAGATACTTTTCTGGCTATTTAATATCTGTCACCATCACTAGACGAGGCGTGCATTGTATGAACAATGGTTGGCTCCCTACTAAAACTATAGTAGTAGGTATTTAATTGGGGGTAGTGGGGGCTGGGTCTCACTATGTAGCCCAGCTGACCTGGAACACACAATCCTCCTGCCTCAGGCCACCAAATGCCTGGATTATGGTTGTCCCCAATCTCAGCTCAATGTTAAGTATATTAATATGTAATAAACATGCAATGATATACACACAAAACACAGAAGTCAATCAACGGAAAAACAGCCACCCGAGCACCAACACTGCAGCAGAAGAGAACGGATTCCTACAAGCTGTTCTCTGACTTCCACATATGCATTCCCCCAACATTGAATAAACAGTAAAAAATAACATGCACAGTGAAATTATATAAAGTGTGATAATGTAGACTGTTTATTGACATATAAAGGTGTCTGTAATATAATGATAAATTTTAAAAAATCAAATTATAAAATAGTAGATACATTATCTCATTTTTATAAAAGAATCCCTATGTATACAGATACATACATTATAAGGTTGACAGTGCTAAGATTATAGATAGTTTGTTACGCCCCATACTGTCTGTAGTTTTTCCTTTTCTCCAGAGGAGTCTCGCTAAGCAGCCTCGCATGGCCTTGAGCTCAGGAGCCTCCTGCCTCAACCTCCCAACAGCAGGGATCACAGGCCTATGACACAAAGCCTAGCTCTCAATTGATTTTTTTTTCTGTTAATTTTCTTTATGTAAAAACAATGATTTCATAATGTGACTTTTCAAATAAACAGCATTTGCTTGATTTACAAAGTATTTCAATTTTGGAAAAAAAATCAAGGAGGCATTAAAAATGACCGTTTATCTCCTATCACGAAACTTCAATTACGCAAGTAATTTTGTTATGATATATTCAATTAGATAATATTAGAAAAAAACCAAAAAAACCCTAGATTTCAAAATTTTAAATTTGATTTAAAAAACAAAACAAACAAACAAAACAAAACAGGGTCTCTTTATGTGTCCCTGGCTGTCCGGAAACTCACTATGTAGACCAGGCTGGTCTCAAACACACAGAGATCCCGTTGTCTCTGCTTCTTAAGTGCTAAAAATAAAGGCGTGCCCAGCCTTGAATTAGATTGATCCTCATGCTATCTGATTGAGATGGACCTTTATCAAGATGATCATTAGTTGTGTTTCTGTATAAACTAATTTTATGTCCACAGTTTCCAATTTGACCCTTTACCTGATCTCGCTCCTACTGAGGATCAGGAGAAGAAAAC